AACCGTTTTTCCAGAGAATAAAATCGTTGATAGGCCGTATTTTTTGAGTTTCCGAGTAAGTCTTTTTTTTCATTAAATGGTAACTTGACCAAGTATTTACCTGAATCTTCGCGACAAACGTGTTTTGAATAATGTTTTTCTGCGGCTAATTCCTCAGCTGAATAATGTTTTGAATCATTTTCATTATCCAGCTCCCATAAAATAGGAAGATTGTGGAATTTTATTAAATTGCAAGAAATAGAAGAATTTTCATTGAAATGTAATTTAGAATTTTGTGGGTGAACGTAACGCCCAGCAAAAATCCAACCTAGGTCAGTTTCTTGAAACAAAGCCGTCTGTCCACGAACCTTAATTTGACCTGCCCGTAATAAATTATAAAAGTGTTCAGCACCTATTAGAATATCTATTTCTCCGGGGTGATTAAAATCAGGATCCGCCAGAAAAATATTTTCAGGTATCTGTAACGATGCTTTATCAATTGGTAAGGCAGGTTGACAATCTGAAATGTCTTTGAATATAAAGAAGGACAAATTAAGTTTGAGCCCCTCGTATCTTGATTTAATTTCCGTGGCAGTAACATATTTTATTTTAGAGTGTAAATTTTCGATTCCTTTTAAATTCATATTAACTTCTTTTTTGCGTAACCCGAGAGAATTAGCAAATTTCTCAGTGATTGAATTGCATTGCGAGCAAGAGTCCAGAAACGCGCGACAGGTGCGATAACGACCGTTGCTATCTAAAATATCTACAATTGCCGTCCCTAGAATTATTTGATTTTGAGGTGTACTTTTGCGATTAACAAGCATGTTAACGACTTGACACGTTAAGTCTTTTGCGGTAGAATCTATTTCTGACGACTGATTGGATTCAAAATGAAGAAGGATGTGATGGCGTCGATGACATTTTTTGCACCGATATTTTTTACAATCTACTGTCCTATGATTAGATTTGAAACAATTATGGCAAATCGATGCTTTTTTGACAAGATCGTAGCGATCTTGAGGGATCAGTTGTTTAAATTTCTCGCAATTTTCTAAAAGATGAGATTCCTTACACGCAGGACAAGGATTTGAATTTTTATTTTGCGCGTTGTCTGTGGTAGTAGTTAGACACGTTGAGGAGTTTTTATTTCGCGAGTGGTAATTTTGCGATTTGCCGTGTGGTTTAAAATTTTCTTTTACTTTTTGAGATCCTTGTGCATCTTCGATTAGAGCGCGGCGTTCTAGAAATGAAACTAATTTTTTATACGTAGGAAGCTCTGTACTTCCTACCGATTCTTCCCATTTTTCTCGCAAATTACTGGTAAATTTTTGACGAATTATTAAAATCAGGAAAACGTCCCAATGTTGAATAGGTTGATTAAGTGCTTGTAAAGCCCTGATTCTTTTTTGAACATTATCTAAAAGAGTCCTGACGCTAAATTCTTTCGATATACATGGAAGATCGAGTAAGGCTTGCACATGGCTCTCCGTGATATATTTCCTGTTATCATATCGCGAGTTTAGAAGTTCCCACGCGATTTGATAATTGTTATTGGTAATTTCCAGAGAGGCGATTACTTCTGCTGCTTCATCTTTTAAACATGCTTTGAGATAATGGAATTTTTGAATATCAGAAATGCATGGATTATCATGGCACATGGATCGAAAGGAATCGTGGAAGGATAACCATGTGTCTAAATTACCGTGAAAGGTTGGAGCTTGAAGCTTTGGAAGTTCGAATCTCGCGGTGTAATTTACTGCATTCATTTCTGTTACATTATTTGAATTTAAAACGTTACCTTGACCGGTACTTAACGTGGGAATCGCGTCCGATGTAACGGAATGAGTATAAGTTAGTGGATTTGATTTTTTAATATATTTTTTAAATAACCCGGTAATGCTATGAAATCGATTTTCGAATTGTTCTTGCTCCAAATCTAGATCTTCTAATTCAGTTTCATCTGAAACTATATTTTCAATACGGTTTTGTACATCTGTAAAATCATCCCACAGTTTTAAATGTTTTTCTAACCTATCCTCTAAACCAAGAGTATCGAAATCTGTGTTATCATTAATTGAAGCTAATATTTTTTCCGATGAGGTTAATTTGCCTTTTATTTTTCCACGTACTCTAATTAAAGGAACTCTTTCTTCTCCGGTAATCGTTTTGTCATTATCGGTAGACATTTTCAATTAGAAAATTAAAATTAACTGAAATTATCTTATAAGCAACTTCACCCTTGAAATAAAAATAGAATATTGAAACTTGGAGGATTAGTCAAAAGAGGACAGAGAGGATAACTCAATGACTTACTTGGAATCGTTCTTCTTTGAAATTGGAAGATGTGTCGTTGACGTCATACAGCTCACCCCTTTGAATGGAGAAGATGTTGAAAATATACTTCTTTTGATTAAAATCGTAATCTGTTGAGAATCCTTGATATTCTTTGTCTCCTCCCGATATGTGTGCAAAGTTTCTGCTGTTAACTACCACTTGTCACTTAAATTATCCCTTGGACAATTGATATCACACGTGAATTAAATCGTCACAATAGTTCGGCACTCAGTTCCTGATAGTTTATTAGGTAGTCACAATTGGGAAACAACACTGAATTTTAGCACCGGAGTTTGAAAGTAATCCGGCTCGAAGGACCAAAAAATGTTCGTTATAAAAACCAACACTTAAAATGTTATTCTATAAAAGTTTTTTAATATCATTTAAATGTATTTTTTAAATTATCAAGGCCAATTTCGCTTAGAATTTTATTGGGTACATTGAAATAAAACACATTATTGTTGATATAAGGAGAACAATCAATACGTATATATTTATTTACACAATATTAGTTTGGGAGGAGTACAAATTTTTGGGTAGCAGCACGTCTAGTCTGAACGAGCGCTAGCTTGATTCTGATACAAGTTTTTCTTTTCAAAACGAAGTTTTACAAATTATGGCAACGCTGTTAAAAATTCAAAATTTGGCAACGTTGGAAAAAGTTTGGAAAAGGCTAAAATGACATGGAAAAACTCATCGACACATTTTGCCTTAATTGCTTAGTTAATCCGACAAGACCCAAGGTTGGGTCCGAGCAATAAAAATTGAGTCCTAATCCTCTGTAAGGCGTACATACCGTACCGAGTTTTATAGCTTTATTTAGTTCTTTTAGTAATAAATATTTATCTATACATATTTTGTTACTTTGTGAAATATTATTTTTTCCAAGATTTTGCTTTCATTACCTATACTTTCTAACAAAGATATGAATTTGACCATATCTTAAAAACACAATTTCTATAGTATAATAAATATAATATGCTGAATATAAAAATAATACTTGAATTTATTTAAACTCTTATTAAATTAAATATTTATCAATTATTGTTTAAAATGTTACACCAATTGTTACGACGTAACAACTATTGAGTAATTAGGTTGAAGGTCATGATGTAATAGTACATTGTCTATGCGGGGTTTCCGACCTATAGGTTAATCAATTTTCTAAGTGCGACTTTACGAGCTATGCAAGGTGAGAATTTAACACTTGTTTCTTTTTTTTTTAATTTGAAAAATATCGATATTCTGCTAAATAACTATAAAATAATTTAATTTTAATTTTTTGATAAAAAATACTTTTTTGTATCCTTCAATTAGTTGAAGAATTTACATTTTCAATTCAAGAAATAAACAAGTATTTTCTTTGTACTTTAAAAAAAATTAGAAAATAATATTGACAATATCTTTACTCTGAGGAATAAAAAAACGAGACTTGTTATCTAATTTATAGTATCAAGATCACCTAAAAATAAATCATACAAAAAAGTAGCATGATCAAGAAATATTTATAAATGAATTTAATATGAAAAATTTCTGATTTTCCATTTTTTTTCTGGTAATTTTCTATATTTTCAACTTTCTTAATTTTCTTGAATTTTTTGAATAAGTAAATTTTTTTTAAATTTATTTTTTTGTTATTTAAATGATTTTTTTTAATTAAATGAATTTTTTATTTTATGAAGAAAATTTAGTTTTTGTCCAAATGACTTTTGGCTTATGTTCAATGTTCAAAAGGACCAAATTTCATGAGCTGTAAAATATTGGCAACGATTGTAATAATGTTATGACCCTCCGCAATGTTTCTTTAGTTAATGTGCGCAATGCGTCTATGTTTTTTAAAAGTGAAAAACAATATTTTTTTTTTACATTGAAGTAGTTAACTGCACTTTGCAACCTCGATTGCCTTGATTTTTCTCTACTACACTTATTTACAGTTCGCATTTAAAGACACTTTACTTATATACGCGCTCATGACTTCTCCTTTTGTATATTTTTTAAGAGTTGTTTTTCATTCAATTTGCGAATCAAGTTTTTTTTTTCTATTCAATAAAATGCTACTTGAATCATAAGTTTTACTATCGGAGATAAAAATTACCTATAAAAGAATTTTAATAGACAAACACATTTATCAAAATGTTTTTTTTTTATTTGCATTTCTATAAAAAAAATTATCTAATAAAATCATTAAAATGAAAATTAATTGGTATACGTAAAAAAAGGAATTAAAATAGTCACATCTGGTGAGATGATTTAGAAAATGGATTTACAAAGACAATTATTTGCGTAAATTAAAATTTTTTGATTTTAAAATCAGATATATAAGTCACATTCACGTGATTGTGATTCAGATAACAATAAACATGTTAGATTTATGTCTAAAGCGAGATAATTTTAAACGACAGGTTTGTTAAAAACAGTATCATCTATGTAGACGTGCAAAAACAAATTTATAAGTTATAGCGGTGGAAGACTTTGAAATTGATAACAATAATATTATCATCAAACTATTTTTACTAGACTTATTGTGAAATAGTATAATGAAAATTGTTTTAAAATTATTATTCAAAAAAATGGTTTGATTAAAATTAAATTTTATAAATAACTTTTGACTTCCAACAATTTAACTTGTGAAAAAAAATTTATAAAATCAGCATATAATATAAGTTCCTTTTGAATTCGCTTACATGACATCTTAAATGCCTCAAGCACATTTTTTTTTTGTTGTCGACACTTGCAAAAAAGGAGAATTAATGAAAACTGAGAAGCTCCGGTTTCGCGTTGCAAAATTTTATGAACACTGGTCGGCACCAAAGGGTTTTTCTGCATAGGAGCATGCGTGGAAACAGATCAGAAACTAAGCTACGTGTTAGTTTGCACGACTCTTCTTTGACTTTATCTGCTGTGTCCTAATTATGTGTTATTTACCTATTTACTTGTTTATCAATTTTTCAGATGGCCGAATTGATAATTAATTGAGAAATCAACTAATATGAATAGAAGCCCACATCATATATGTGTGATGCAATAAAAACGTGTATCTGTGATACTTCAAATTTAAATATAAAAATAGTGAACAGAAGGTGAAATCTTTATAGTTGACAGCAGTTCTATAAAAAGAGAAATTTCCAAGTTTAAAAAATTTTCAAAACACTTTTTACCTACAAGGAAAAAATTCGTAAATTACAAGGAAAAAAAATATTACCGAAAAAATAAATTTTTCGCAAATAAAGAAAAGATTCATTTTTGGATTCATGAAAATAAAATAAAAATTCTAATAAGTCATTTACTAAAGAGAAATTTATATTTTAATTGAAAAAATAAATTATTGGTCATTCGAAAAGGATTTAACGAAAAAAATGCAGTCATAAAATCAGGAAGAATCGTATTACTCGTTCATCGATGACGCAATAGTAAATGAACGTTAATTGGAGAGGACAGTATGAATATACTATATATGACAAAAATTATACATTTGTGCTCCCTCACAGTTTGCTATTAACTAAAATATTCGGCACTTATTACTGATTAACTTTTTATTATAATAGTTTGAAAATAAGAGTTGTTTCAAAGTTTTTAAAACTGGAACAATTATTTTGAAATTATACATTTCAGGAATGATATCTTATCTAAGTATATTGCCTTGACAAGGAAAATATTCAAATAACATAATAAATTGTAAAACCTTTCTAAAACACTGAGTCAAAAAAAAACCACGAACATTAGACTAATGAGGTTAAATTTTCCCAATTAAAAAATTTCTATAAAAACTTAAATTTAGTATTTTAAAATAAAAATTGTGTCCGTTACATAAATTTTTATATATTTAAAAAATGCTGCAACTTTTATTTAAATATATCAAAACCATTGTTATAATTTTAAAAAACAAAACAATTCAACAAATAAAGAATTACTTTTAAAAATTTTTTTCAACTCAAAAACTTAATTAAAAAAAAGTTCTATTTTAATGTTGATACATTAACGTACATATTTAATAAATCAATATATTTGCCGGCATTAAATACTAAAGTATAAAATACTATGTTATAAATCTACGTGTTATGTAAATATAAACAAATATGGGAGCATGGCTTGAAAACAAAATGGCTACCACTGATGCAATCGACCTCATGGTTTTTACAAATAATCAAAAAAAGTCAATTTTTAAGTAATTATGACATAAAAATTTATGTTCATCAGAAGTAATAAAATTTATGACACTTTATAAATGTATCTAAATATAAATCATGAAGAAAATATTTGTAAAAAACTTACATTCTGAAGCCCGGCCATCCTGCGGCATGTCACGTCTCACAAGTTCAGCCCATTACTAAAACATGTTGAACAAATTATTTAATTGTTGATTTGTTTTTATGTTAAATTTATCTACATTAGATATTATTTTAGACATAGGCTTTTAATTTATGGTACTTTATTTTAAAAACATTTATAAAAAATTATTCTATATAAAATCGAACTGATTCACACACGGCATTGACAAACTCAACTTTAATATATATATACTAACCGCCATTTCAAACTATCGACACTTGCTGAAGATTTATGCATATGTAATTTTACATTGTTTTAAAGAAAAACATTTGCATTGTGATGCGTATATATTTGTTTATAAATTATATGATTTTATTTAAGTTTAGCACATTTCCGGTAATGCAATACCGGTTTTAAACAAAATAAAAATTTTCATTAATGTGCTCCACAGCGACATCTTCCGTTTTTCTTGAAAATTAATTACCGACTAAACTTTCTGGACAAGTTTTTTGGGCGGTAATATTTGTTTCGATTGAGAAATTTTAATAAAGAATGTTAGATAATTGTTAATTACTTTTTATTTCTTATTCAATAAATATTAAATTAATTGATTACAATATGAATTGAATATTTTGATGATGAAAAAAATAAGTGAAATATATTAATCGTTGTGTATATTAATCTGATTGGTTATTATTTATTACACCGGCCAATCAAATTTGTACATTCATTTTGTTTATATGATTTGTTGTAAATGTACCCTACATTGTTAAATGATCTATTTACGTCACTTCCGTTGTCATCATAACCAATCGTGACATACCGAGTCATATTATCAGATGTCATATGCATCAAATCAGTAGAACTGTCAGTGAATATAGTACGCACTTTTAACGTCATAAAATATATAATTAAAATTAATTGAACTACAAAAATAAAACTGATCAATTGTTATTAATTGTCAGCGACTGATTGTTTATATATTCATATTGTGTTTATTGTTATTAAAAACAAAAAAATGTCTTACGGTACACAAATGCCAAATCGAGATTTTTTATGGGATGTTTTTCAAAGGTATTTCTAATATAATTCGCAAAAATACATAACTGTAATGACTCATCATCAACTAATTAAATGGTTTCACAACCGTTTTTATGAAGTGTAATTCATATGACAAAATACCGGATCCCATATTTTGAAATTTTATGTATATTTCATCATCTCGTTACATTTATCATTCTCGTAATAATAAGGAAACGTCAATTTTGTTTGAAAATTTCTTATCAGATTAACCAGATTGTATCCTTAATTCTTATTTTATAATATTGTACTTGAAAAAAGAAAATAAATTTCAATCTATCTTAATGATAATGAGATAATCCAAAAAAATTGAAATAAAAATAATGATAATTTAATTTTAATTTACAGAGTCGATAAAGATCATTCAGGAGCAATTACTGCTGATGAACTTCAACAAGCTCTTTCAAATGGAACGTGGACAGCTTTTAATCCTGAAACAGTTCGTTTAATGATTGGTAAAACATATCAGTAATAATTTCTATTCTTTATGAAGAAAACTTAATCGCATGAAGACCACTGCTTGCATTTATTTCTCGCTTTATTTAACACTTTGAGCCCTATTTTTTCAATTGTATTTATATTTATTTTTCAGTAAAATATTCCCAAAATTATGTTTTTTTATGATTAAGTTTTCTTTGGCGCTTTCTATATTCTTACTCTGTGTAAAAAAACTTTACCAAGTTTCATTTTTGAAATGATCTCATCAGAATCTTTTAACTCCTTAAAATAATTACATTTCTATTTTCCAAATTAAAGAAGACTTTCATATGAGGAAACAAAAATTTGTTAAACGGGTTTTTAAAGAAAGGCTCAAAGATGTTTATTGGGTAATGTTGATTCTAAATTAGTTTCTATTTTAGTTTGCACGTATGAAATAGTTTTTATTAATTTTTTTTTTAATTACACACTGCAATTTTTCTATGGACACAATTTATAATAATTGATACATTTTACCATACATTTCAATTGTTTAAATTTGGTTTTTGATTCATTTCAATGAAAATTTCAAATAGTAATTCAAGTGGAAAATGGATTCTTACTTAATCATCTTAGCTAGAATTTCTTCAAAATATGTATACATATAATTGAGGGGTTAAAATGGTTTTGTTCGTACTTGGTTTTGTTTACACAGGTATGTTTCAATATGATAAATCCACTGAAAAATCAACTGATGACAAACCAAATGATGCTGATTCTTCAGGTATGTTCGATAAACGACAAAGTGGAACTGTCAATTTTGAAGAATTTGGAGCACTTTGGAAATATGTGACCGATTGGCAAAATTGTTTTCGATCGTTCGATAATGACGGAAGTGGAAATATTGATAGACAAGAACTGAAAACTGCCTTGACGAGCTTTGGCTATCGATTAAATGATGATATTATAAATATGTTAATACGAAAATACGATCGTGCTGGCAGGGGAACAATATATTTTGATGATTTTATTCAATGTTGCGTGGTTCTTTATGTAAGATTATTAATTTGCATTTAAAGTTTTTTTTTTCTTAAATTTAAATAATTTAAATAATTATTTTTTAGACGCTGACTTCTGCATTTAGACAATATGATACTGATCAAGATGGAGTGATTACAATTCATTATGAACAATTTCTGTCAATGGTGTTTAATCTTAAAATATAATTCGCCCTAAGATGCACTTCTTTAAAATTCTTATCAAAATTCAATTCCACTTGTGTAACTATTTAGAATAATGCATCAATCAAAAAAGGATCAAAAGTGTTAGCGATATTGCCAAAAGTTTGCCAAAATGTTGACTTAAGTATTTTCTTCATTTATCTGATTTCAATTCTATGCTTCCAAAAAAATATGCATAATATTATTTTTAAAACATTTAAAACTCGTTAAGTATGATACACAAGAAAACTAATATTTTTATACAGTTTAGTTATTATTGTTAAGTGTTGCGTAGGTGTTTGAGTTTGAACAAAAGGAATTTACAATTATTTCAAATTTTCCGATTTTAAATAAATGTAAGTAATTTAAAGTTCATTTTAATTATTAAAAAAATAAGTATATTTTATTTCTACTTGGTCTATTTTTATTTTGCGAATTTAATTAAGAAAGATGATTTACACTTGATCAATATACTTTTTTAAAAAAAGGCTTAAAAAATAATCACAGATTTATATTTTAATACTCAACAACTAGGGGGAGAGCGGGGCAAAGACGCTAATGTAACGTTTATTTGTAAATATTTTCGTTATTACACCATCAATTTACGTGATTTTTTTTTCTAATTAATTTCAAACTAATTAACAACAAATTTTAATAATAATTCTTTAATTTATTATAAGCATGATTATTTAATTTAATTATTTTCAAGAAGATGCAAAAAAACGGCTTTGCCCCTTATGGCGAGGCAGCGACGTTTTTGCTTATATTTTTAAAAGGAAGAAAATTGTAGCCGTTAAAACTGTACGAACTTGCAGTAAATGGCCGAATATCTTTGAAACATAAGTATTTAGTACATTTTTAAAAGAATTTTAGTTATTTAAAAAAAAATAATCATTGTATTTTTAACCTAACATTTTGAATTCGATTCTCCACTGTTTCATTAAAATATCTACTTTACCATCTATTCAAATTGAAAAACAATTTAAATAACCGCGCGAAAATATAATGAAATCAAAAATAGAGTTACATTAGCGGCTTTGCCTCGCTTTTCCCTACGTCCTTACGGACATGTAAAAAAGAGGCAGTATTAAACTAACCCCTTTACCCCTCATCTAGTGAGAAGACTATTGGAAAGACAAATCTCCCCCTACTTATTCCAATCTTGGATATTTTTTAACGCTCGAAAATCACTCCAATTTGGCAATTGTTCTTTATTTATTATTCCCAATTTCACAAGTCCCAAATTTAAAATGTTTCTACCCGCGTTTACATCACGATTCCATGAGATTTTACATGATGCACAATAAGCTGTTCTGTTTCTGAAAATGTCCATGTTTTCGTTGCAAGTGCTGCAAAGTTTTGTGGTTCGATGTTCATCGATAAAAACAATTCGTAAATTTGGATATTTAGATTGCTTTTCGATTAATCTCCTCACAACTTTTCTTAACGGCATCCGCACGTGGCCACGCATCCATGGTGATATTTCAGGTGATCCAATCACCAACAGTTGTTTCCTCTTTACATCGCCAACCATGTAATTTGCTAAGAGATCTGTTTCACGTTGTACTGACATGTACTTGTCCCATTTCAAAGCCGCTATTTTTCGTTTTTCAAAATAAGGTTGGTTTCGTTTTAGCGCTGTCAATAAATATTCTGTTGATATTAAAATTTGTTGAGGATCTTTGTGATTTACTTTGTCACGATATTTTTCACTTACTTGCAAATCGTGATAATATTTTTTATAATTTTTTGTCTCATTATAAAGAATGCTTTGTCTCTTATTCTCCTGAGTTTGCCATCTGTAAGATTTTGTAGAAATTTTTATATGTTTATCTATACATTTAATATCGAAATTATCATTCATTTTTCTTTCTACTCCAGCAAATCCAAATTTCAAACCTGGGTCAAGACCCTTGAACACTTCATATTTTGTTAAATCTCGCGATTCTTGTTGCTGTAAAGGAGAAAAATTTGTTATATTTTTTGGTTTAACAAGATTATAAATTACAGACACAGCCACACCATCCGTCATTATTGTTTTGGAAAATTTCAATTTCTCTTTGTTGACTTGTATTTTAGATATGTCAAACATGTTGTTCCATCTTTCATCATTTTCATTAATTTTCTCCGGACGTCGTTGATTTTTAATGTCTTGATGTCGTTTGTTCTCCAATTGTATTTCCTTTTTGATTGGAGTCAATTTTTTTGTAATTTCTTTTATTTGATTTTTTATGTTTGACAATTCTTCTGAATTTTTTGGATTATTTGCTTTTTCCAAATATTGAAAATTTCTTTCCAAACCAATTTTTTCAGCATGCAGCAACTTTGATTTTTCTTTTAATGGCGAAATAATGTCTTTGTGCATGAGTTCTTGTGCTGTAATTTCATTGACGGTAAACTTTTCCGGTGCTTTTTTAGTACATGTATAATCTGGTGCTACTTTTTTCAATTCAGTTTCCAACAGTTTTAACGCCGTATTCGTGTACGTAATGTACTTTAGACCAGGACTCATGATTGGTACAAGAATAAAACTTTTGATTCCTTCACGTGCAAAATAATCTTGTAAACGATGAAAAAATATAAAAAATTTGTGACATTCCTTTCTTCTTTTAAGATCTCGAAAATCCAAATTTTCCAAATTCAAGGCCTTCAGAGTTTCATTATCACATTCATTGTATTTGAGAAGATTGTCAAGTTTTGTTTTAATGATTTTCCTATGATTCAATTCTTCCTCCTCTTCATTGTCCTGCACTTTTTTTGTGGCCTCTTTAGAATTAATAATTTTACTTTTTTTTGTCGATGGCTTCGATGATTTGTTCTTACGTGATGGTTTTTCCCAGTTTTTGTTGTTTTTTTTTAATGTTAAACGTTCTCGATATTTTTTACCTCTATTTTTGCCTTTTGGAGGTAAATCATAAACAATTTGTCTTTGTATTATATCGCGATTTTGTTTTAATTTTTTAACGTTTCTAAAAATTAATTTTTCCACATGCGGCTCATAGGGATGTAACCTTTCTAATTCAGCACGTCTTGCTCTTCTTTCTTCTCGATACAGTTGTTTTATTTTTTTCTTTTTTTTTGCCCACTTCTCCCTTTTTTTCTTGTTACGTAATCTACGAATTAATTTTTTTTCACGGTAAACTCTTGTTCGCTCCTGTTGGCGTTCTGTAGTTTCCTTTTTATTCAATTTCATTGTAGATTTGTTTTTTTTAAATAATTCATGTTTGAAGAACGTAGCAAGTCGACTCCTGGCATGATAATGAAGATTTGTCAAGTAATTGACATTTAATTGAATTGCCATTTCCTGTATTTGAGAAGAGAGATTTGTGCAATTAAATAATTCAAATTTGCCACCCATGAACTCACTAAACTGAGGAATAAATTCATTTTTCAATTTATTATGCATTTCTTTTTTTGCATCAGTTCTTGGTTCTGTAGAATTTTCTTTAAACAACGGAAATATTGAATTATAATCGGGACCTTGTTCGGACCAGATTTTACGTAAATAATCATTTGTGGGATGACGAAGTGCAAAGTTTATAAAAATTGTAACCAATATAGTCATTCTCGATAGCACTTTCACTTGATTAATTACCAAATCCCGAAGTTCTGGACAGCAACAAAAAGAATCAGAAAAACCAGTCTTTATCGTAAATTTTGTTTGAAGTTTTAAATCTTCATCATCATCATCATCATCATCATCGTCGTTGTCGTCTACTGCTGTTGTTGATGATTTATCGACTTTTTGAGGTGTTTCTTTTTTGTTTTTCAATGATTGTTTTTTGGGAGTCTTTTTACGGGTATTCTGTATTTTATCAGTAGTTTTCTTCATTGACTTCTTTGTGACCATTGATATAAATGAAACTGCATCTTGTACATCAGCTTGTTTACTTGTTGACGGTTGTGGTTCGTTGGCATAATTTTTTTGTGTCGATAACGATTTTGGTAATTTAAATTTCTCTGTTGGCGTGTTTTTTTCATTTTCAGCTTCGTTTGTTGTTTTTTCGCATCTTTTATCACTGCCTAAATTTAATTTAAATCGCTTCCTTGGAATTGGACAGCGTTGAAATTCATTTTCTTCACCCAAATCGCCAGATTCACTTGATTCAATATTTAAAAGATTTAAATTTTTTTGCCACGACAAAGTTCTATCGTCATTGTTGATGTTTGATATAAAAGGCTGAGAATTGTCATTAATTGACATTACAGTATTTTCGTCGTTAAGAAAAGGTTGCTCAGGTTGTCGATGATCAGCGGAGATGTCTTCTTGAAGAGATTGATCTTGACGGTAAACAAAATTGAAACTTGGCAATGCATTTGGCTCTTGATTTAAATGTGCGTCTTGTTGAAGAGGAAACAACTGTTGATGATTCGTGGGTATTATTTCTTGAGATTGATCTTGACGGTAAACAAAATTAACACTTGTAGATGCACTTTGTTCTTGATTTAAATGTTCTTCATCACGCGGAGGAAACAACTGTCGACGTACTCGATTCACATTACAATTCTGACCATTGTCAGATTGTTGACAACGACGCGGAAATAAGGGAGTAAATCTACTGTACACTGTACGAATACGATTACTATCAACACTATTTGAATTATGATTACTGCCCGAATTATTATCACTACGCCTTGGCAACAATGGAACAAATTGTCGCGAAACATTGCGTCTATTAATCGCATTTATTTGTTCAACGCGACGTTGTGCATTTTCAATATCTGCACGTGATGGAGGAGATTTGTTTGTTTCTTTTTTCTTATCACTCATTACAATAATAAATGTTAAACAATTAACTAAAATCTATCTTAAAACTATATACATGTACAATAACACGGTTTATCAAAAAAAGTTTCTATAATGACATTCGATAATGTTTTTTGCACGACACACGCAGAATCTTGTCCAATGCAGCAAAGCAAAGTTTCCTTACAACATTCAGCAAAAGCATTGTTGACAACAAATTCAATTAAAACTCCAATAATGATCCAAGTTGATAGACTCGTAACACAACAAGACCTGAGTAAAAAAATAATAATATAATATTTAATAAATTAATAATTTTAATATTTCTTAATATTTAAATATAAAAAAAATTAAAATGGCAATAAGTAATAAGTGAGGGTCAGATAGCAAAAGTGGAGTAAAATTTGAGTGCGAACAAAAGTGTGATATAAAAAAATTGCGAGCAAAAATGGGTTTTTATAGTAATTTCAGGTTTAAAATATTTATTTAAATAATAATTTTAAAAGAAAATGTTCCCATCATTAGACTTGACGGAATTTTTGTAGTGTCAAATTAAAAACTATTGTTACCCCCTAACGTTACAAAATTCACAAAATAAGTGAATTTAAATTTTATGTAAAATTTAATTTAACTTTAGAGGTTAGTGTTGCAAAAATACATTTTTAAACAAAACATATATATTGTTAGAAAAAACATTTTTTATTTATAACTTGATATGAAATTTCAATTGAGAATTATAATTGATAATAATATATTCACATATATTATATGCATATTCAATTTGTGAACTTTTTTATTTATAACACCTATTTTAATAAATATTAATTGATAAAATCTATTTAATAATTAATTTTTGTCATTTTTTCAATTGGTCAATTTTCTTCTATTTTTTTGCACTTTAGTTGTTCAAGAAATTATATTTTTTTAATTAATGCAAAAAACAATATTTTTTCACCTTTCAAAATCTGATAGATTATTTTTAAATAGTCAAATTTTCGAAAAACTAAAACATTTTTTTAAAAAAAGACAAATTTGACAAATTTTTCATTTTTTTTTCTTTTTTTCAAGTTTTTTTTTTTTTTATTTTATCAAAAAATCAGTAAAACTATTGTTTTCCTTACTAAAAACCAATATAAATCACTATATATAATTAGTTTTATGTCAAATAGAAACCTTTTTACATAAGTTTGAAGGGTGTATGGACACCCCAGTTACCCTTTAGAGGGTGAGAAAATTCAGTTTCTTTTTATAGGGTTAATAGAATTGTCTTAAAAATTTAGCTTAGAAGAATTTCTGTCAAATGACTACATTATCAAATAAAAATTAGATTCTATAGAAATTTTTTGAATAAAACTTTTGTTAAATGAGAATTTTTTTATATAGAAATTCTTTTAATTGGAAATTCTGTTTATTAAAACACTTTTAAGTGAATATTTGGATAAATAGAACTTCGACAAAAGAACAATTCTAATACATAAAAAATTTTTTTAATAAACATTTTTCGAGATATAAATTTTGTCATATGGAAATTGTATTACTTGAAAATTGGATATATTAGAAAATCTGCTCTATCACAGTCCAGTTAAATAGAAATTCTACAAAATCAGAAATTTGTTAAATAGTAATTTTTTTATATTAAAATTGGGCTCATTATAAAATCTTTTTTTTTAAATTCTACTAAATGTAAATTCGATAATTTTTAATTTGACACCAAAAAAGATCCGCCAAATCTAATGAAGGGAATATTCATGCGTCCCAAAGAATAGTCATCAATATCTCTTCTAAATAGATAAATTAATCAAAATATCTTAACCCGTTTTTGCTCGCAAAGCTTTTAACCCATTATTACTCCCATTCAAATTATAACCCACTTTTACTATCAGCCTCTCAAGTAAAAATGTGAACAATATCGATTGTGTTATCCCATCTGCGGTTAGATCCGAGATATCTCGGGGTAAATAATTTTAGTGAAATCCATGCAAAATCTCAATATTTTATTAAAAATTCTTACCTCACACTAATGCCGAAAATAACAAGTGAAATGCAGGATATCCAAGAACACCGGTAAGTGACGATGCAATTGATTCTTTCAAAACGCAAAAACGGTGACTGACAATGCAACTGATTACTTCAAATCAGAACGATGATTGACGATGAAACTGAGGATTTCCAATCAACACTATAACTGCAAGGTGAAAATAAAACTATAGAAATTGTTTTTTCTAGTTAAACAAACACTATTTTATAAGAATAAATAGATAAAATACTTTTAATAGGTTTACAAATATTTTTTAAATATAATAATATTTACTGATAGACACATTTTTGAGTTTTTTTTTAATATGTGACGTGATCTGAAGAAAGGGACTTTAAAAGATAAAATTATAGGTTATGTTGTGAAATTTTAAAGTGAAAATACACAAAGAAGTTCAACTTGTAATGCAAAATAATATTAATATATCTTCTTTACATTCAAAATATTCAATAAATCTGATATCAGTCTTACAAAATCAAAAATAAACTTTTAGTTCAAGTAAAACTGTCGTAAACACAACCTACAATTCATTTGCTTCTAATGTCCCTTTCTTCAGATTGTATTACATATTAAATTGGTTAAAAATTTGAAAAAAGAAAATAAAATTGTGGTAATAATATTTTTTAGTTAAACATACTCAATTTTATAAGAATAAATGCAAAAAATAATTTTTAAAAATAATTCTGTTTACCCATGGACGATTTTTTTTTTTATTTTTTTCCACAAAATTGACTTGAAATTTGGAAAAAGAAAATAAAATTATGGAAATAATTTTTTCCAGTTAAATAAATTCTATTTTATAAGAATAAATTAATAATAATATAATAATATTCAATAAATTAATAAATTTAATCTTTTTGAATATTTAAATATTAAAAAAATTAAAATGGCAATATGTTATAATTGAAAATAAGAATAATATCGATTGTGTAATCCCTTTACATTTATACCCGCAATATCGCGGGGAATATAATATTAGGAAAATCCAATCAAAATCTCAATATTTTTTATTAAAAATTCTTACCTCACACGAAAGCAGAAAATGACAAGTGAAATGCAGGATATCCAAGAATACCGGTAAGTGACGATGCAATTGATTCTTTCAAAACGCAAAAACGGTAACTGACAATGCAACTGATTATTTCAAATCAGAACGATGATTGACGATGAAACAGAGGATTTCCAAATCAAAACGGTTGACTGCAAGGAGAAAATAAAACTATAGAAATTGTTTTTTCTAGTTAAACAAACACTATTTTATAAAAATAAATAGATAAAATACTTTTAATAGGTTTACAAATATTTTTTAAATAGAATAATATTTATTGATAGACACATTTTTAAGTTTCTTTTTTTTGAAAATAATTGGTTAAAAATTTGGAAAAAGAAAATAAAATTGTGGTAATAATATTTTTTAGTTAAACATACTCAATTTTATAAGAATAAATGCAAAAAATAATTTTTAAAAATAATTCTGTTTACCCATGGACGATTTTTTTTTTTTATTTTTTTCCACAAAATTGATTTGAAATTTGGAAAAAGAAAATAAAATTATGGAAATAATTTTTTTCCAGTTAAAGAAATTCTATTTTATAAGAATAAATTAATAATAATATAATAATATTCAATAAATTAATAAATTTAATCTTTTTGAATATTTAAATATTAAAAAAATTAAAATGGCAATATGTTATAATTGAAAATAAGAATAATATCGATTGTGTAATCCCTTTACATTTATACCCGCAATATCGCGGGGAATATAATATTAGGAAAATCCAATCAAAATCTCAATATTTTTTATTAAAAATTCTTACCTCACACGAAAGCAGAAAATGACAAGTGAAATGCAGAATATCCAAGAATACCGGTAAGTGACGATGCAATTGATTCTTTCAAAACGCAAAAACGGTATCTGACAATGCAACTGATTATTTCAAATCAGAACGATGAAACTGAGGATTTCCAAATAAAACGTTAACTGCAAGAAGAAAATAATACTATAGAAATTGTTTTTTCTAGTTAAACAAACTCTATTTTATAAAAATAAATAGATAAAATACTTTTAATAGGTTTACAAATTTTTTTTAAATATAATAATATTTATTGATAGACACATTTTTAATTTTTTTTTTTTGAAAATAATTTGTTAAAAATTTGGAAAAAGAAAATAAAATTGTGGTAATAATATTTTTTAGTTAAACATACTCAATTTTATAAGAATAATTGCAAAAAATAATTTTTAAAAAAAATTCTGTTTACCCATGGACGATTTTTTTTTTTATTTTTTTCCACAAAATTGATTTGAAATTTGGAAAAAGAAAATAAAATTATGGAAATAATTTTTTCCAGTTAAACAAATTCTATTTTATAAGAATAAATTAATAATAATATAATAATATTCAATAAATTAATAAATTTAATCTTTTTGAATATTTAAATATTAAAAAAATGAAAATGGCAATATGTTATAATTGAAAATAAGAATAATATCGATTGTGTAATCCCTTTACATTTATACCCGCAATATCGCGGGGAATATAATATTAGGAAAATCCAATTAAAATCTCAATATTTTTTATTAAAAATTCTTACCTCACACGAAAGCAGAAAATGACAAGTGAAATGCAGAATATCCAAGAATACCGGTAAGTGACGTTGCAATTGATTCTTTCAAAACGCAAAAATGGTAACTGACAATGCAACTGATTATTTCAAATCAGAACGATGAAACTGAGGATTTCCAAATAAAACGTTAACTGTAAGAAGAAAATAATACTATAGAAATTGTTTTTTCTAGTTAAACAAACACTATTTTATAAAAATAAATAGATAAAATACTTTTAATAGGTTTACAAATTTTTTTTAAATAGAATAATATTTATTGATAGACACATTTTTAATTTTTTTTTTTTTGAAAATAATTTGTTAAAAATTTTAAAAAAGAAAATAAAATTGTGGTAATAATATTTTTTAGTTAAACATACTCAATTTTATAAGAATAAATGCAAAAAATAATTTTTTAAAATAATTCTGTTTACCCATGGACGATTTTTTTTTTTAATTTTTTTACACAAAATTGATTTGAAATTTGGAAAAAGAAAATAAAATTATGGAAATAATTTTTTTCCAGTTAAACAAATTCTATTTTATAAGAATAAATTAATAATAATATAATAATATTCAATAAATTAATAAATTTAATCTTTTTGAATATTTAAATATTAAAAAAATTAAAATGGCAATATGTTATAATTGAAAATAAGAATAATATCGATTGTGTAATCCCTTTACATTTATACCCGCAATATCGCGGGGAATATAATATTAGGAAAATCCAATCAAAATCCCAATATTTTTTATTAAAAATTCTTACCTCACACGAAAGCAGAAAATGACAAGTGAAATGCAGGATATCCAAGAATACCGGTAAGTGACGATGCAATTGATTCTTTCAAAATGCAAAAACGGAAACTGACAATGCTACTGATTATTTCAAATCAGAACGATGATTGACGATGAAACAGAGGATTTCCAATCAACACTATAACTGCAAGGTGAAAATAAAACTATAGAAATTGTTTTTTCTAGTTAAACAAACACTATTTTATAAAAATAAATAGATAAAATACTTTTAATAGGTTTACAAATTTTTTTTAAATATAATAATATTTATTGATAGACACATTTTTAATTTTTTTTTTTTGAAAATAATTTGTTAAAAATTTGAAAAAAGAAAATAAAATTGTGGTAATAATATTTTTTAGTTAAACATACTCAATTTTATAAGAATAAATGCAAAAAATAATTTTTAAAAATAATTCTGTTTACCCATGGACGATTTTTTTTTTTTATTTTTTTCCACAAAATTGACTTGAAATTTGGAAAAAGAAAATAAAATTATGGAAATAATTTTTTCCAGTTAAAGAAATTCTATTTTATAAGAATAAATTAATAATAATATAATAATATTCAATAAATTAATAAATTTAATGTTTTTGAATATTTAAATATTAAAAAAATTAAAATGGCAATATGTAATAATCGAAAATAAGAATAATATCGATTGTGTAATCCCTTTACATTTATACCCGACATATCGCGGGGTATATAATTTTAGGAAAATCCAATCAAAATCTCAATATTTTTTATTAAAAATTCTTACCTCACACGAAAGCAGAAAATGACAAGTGAAATGCAGAATATCCAAGAATACCGGTAAGTGACGATGCAATTGATTCTTTCAAAATGCAAAAACGGAAACTGACAATGCTACTGATTATTTCAAATCAGAACGATGATTGACGATGAAACAGAGGATTTCCAATCAACACTATAACTGCAAGGTGAAAATAAAACTATAGAAATTGTTTTTTCTAGTTAAACAAACACTATTTTATAAAAATAAATAGATAAAATACTTTTAATAGGTTTACAAATTTTTTTTAAATATAATAATATTTATTGATAGACACATTTTTAATTTTTTTTTTTTGAAAATAATTTGTTAAAAATTTTAAAAAAGAAAATAAAATTGTGGTAATAATATTTTTTAGTTAAACATACTCAATTTTATAAGAATAAATGCAAAAAATAATTTTTAAAAATAATTCTGTTTACCCATGGACGACTTTTTTTTTTTATTTTTTTCCACAAAATTGATTTTAAATTTGGAAAAAGAAAATAAAATTATGGAAATAATTTTTTCCAGTTAAACAAATTCTATTTTATAAGAATAAATTAATAATAATAACATAATATTTAATAAATTAATAAATTTAATGTTTTTGAATATTTAAATATAAAAAATTAAAATGGCAATATGTAATAATCGAAAATAAGAATAATATCGATTGTGTAATCCCTTTACATTTATACCCGCAATATCGCGGGGAATATAACATTAGGAAAATCCAATCAAAATCTCAATATTTTTTATTAAAAATTCTTACCTCACACGAAAGCAGAAAATGACAAGTGAAATGCAGAATATCCAAGAATACCGGTAAGTGACGTTGCAATTGATTCTTTCAAAACGCAAAAATGGTAACTGACAATGCAACTGATTATTTCAAATCAGAACGATGAAACTGAGGATTTCCAAATAAAACGTTAACTGTAAGAAGAAAATAATACTATAGAAATTGTTTTTTCTAGTTAAACAAACACTATTTTATAAAAATAAATAGATAAAATACTTTTAATAGGTTTACAAATTTTTTTTAAATAGAATAATATTTATTGATAGACACATTTTTAATTTTTTTTTTTTTGAAAATAATTTGTTAAAAATTTTAAAAAAGAAAATAAAATTGTGGTAATAATATTTTTTAGTTAAACATACTCAATTTTATAAGAATAAATGCAAAAAATAATTTTTTAAAATAATTCTGTTTACCCATGGACGATTTTTTTTTTTAATTTTTTTACACAAAATTGATTTGAAATTTGGAAAAAGAAAATAAAATTATGGAAATAATTTTTTTCCAGTTAAACAAATTCTATTTTATAAGAATAAATTAATAATAATATAATAATATTCAATAAATTAATAAATTTAATCTTTTTGAATATTTAAATATTAAAAAAATTAAAATGGCAATATGTTATAATTGAAAATAAGAATAATATCGATTGTGTAATCCCTTTACATTTATACCCGCAATATCGCGGGGAATATAATATTAGGAAAATCCAATCAAAATCCCAATATTTTTTATTAAAAATTCTTACCTCACACGAAAGCAGAAAATGACAAGTGAAATGCAGGATATCCAAGAATACCGGTAAGTGACGATGCAATTGATTCTTTCAAAATGCAAAAACGGAAACTGACAATGCTACTGATTATTTCAAATCAGAACGATGATTGACGATGAAACAGAGGATTTCCAATCAACACTATAACTGCAAGGTGAAAATAAAACTATAGAAATTGTTTTTTCTAGTTAAACAAACACTATTTTATAAAAATAAATAGATAAAATACTTTTAATAGGTTTACAAATTTTTTTTAAATATAATAATATATATTGATAGACACATTTTTAATTTTTTTTTTTTGAAAATAATTTGTTAAAAATTTGAAAAAAGAAAATAAAATTGTGGTAATAATATTTTTTAGTTAAACATACTCAATTTTATAAGAATAAATGCAAAAAATAATTTTTAAAAATAATTCTGTTTACCCATGGACGATTTTTTTTTTTTATTTTTTTCCACAAAATTGACTTGAAATTTGGAAAAAGAAAATAAAATTATGGAAATAATTTTTTCCAGTTAAAGAAATTCTATTTTATAAGAATAAATTAATAATAATAACATAATATTTAATAAATTAATAAATTTAATGTTTTTGAATATTTAAATATAAAAAATTAAAATGGCAATATGTAATAATCGAAAATAAGAATAATATCGATTGTGTAATCCCTTTACATTTATACCCGACATATCGCGGGGTATATAATTTTAGGAAAATCCAATCAAAATCTCAATATTTTTTATTAAAAATTCTTACCTCACACGAAAGCAGAAAATGACAAGTGAAATGCAGAATATCCAAGAATACCGGTAAGTGACGTTGCAATTGATTCTTTCAAAACGCAAAAATGGTAACTGACAATGCAACTGATTATTTCAAATCAGAACGATGAAACTGAGGATTTCCAAATAAAACGTTAACTGTAAGAAGAAAATAATACTATAGAAATTGTTTTTTCTAGTTAAACAAACACTATTTTATAAAAATAAATAGATAAAATACTTTTAATAGGTTTACAAATTTTTTTTAAATAGAATAATATTTATTGATAGACACATTTTTAAGTTTTTTTTTTTCGAAAATAATTAGTTAAAAATTTGAAAAAAGAAAAAAAAATTGTAGTAATAAAATTTTTTAGTTAAACATACTCTATTTTATAAGAATAAATGCAAAAAATAATTTTTTTAAATAATTCTGTTTACCCATGGACGACTTTTTTTTTTTATTTTTTTCCACAAAATTGATTTTAAATTTGGAAAAAGAAAATAAAATTATGGAAATAATTTTTTCCAGTTAAACAAATTCTATTTTATAAGAATAAATTAATAATAATAACATAATATTTAATAAATTAATAAATTTAATGTTTTTGAATATTTAAATATAAAAAATTAAAATGGCAATATGTAATAATCGAAAATAAGAATAATATCGATTGTGTAATCCCTTTACATTTATACCCGCAATATCGCGGGGAATATAATATTAGGAAAATCCAATCAAAATCTCAATATTTTTTTTAAAAATTCTTACCTCACACGAAAGCAGAAAATGACAAGTGAAATGCAGGATATCCAAGAATACCGGTAAGTGACAATGCAATTGATTCTTCCAAAACGCAAAAACGGTAACTTCAAATCAGAACGATGATTGACGATGAAACTGACGATTTCCAAATAAAACGTTAACTGCAAGAAGAAAATAATACTATAGAAATTGTTTTTTCTAGTTAAACAAACACTATTTTATAAAAATAAATAGATAAAATACTTTTAATTGGTTTACAAATTTTTTTTAAATATAATAATATTTATTGATAGACACATTTTTAAGTTTCTTTTTTTTTTCGAAAATAATTGGTTAAAAATTTGAAAAAAGAAAATAAAATTGTTGTAATAATATTTTTTAGTTAAACATTCTCTATTTTATAAGAATAAATGCAAAAAATAATTTTTAAAAATAATTCTGTTTACCCATGGACGACTTTTTTTTTTTATTTTTTTCCACAAAATTGATTTTAAATTTGGAAAAAGAAAATAAAATTATGGAAATAATTTTTTCCAGTTAAACAAATTCTATTTTATAAGAATAAATTAATAATAATAACATAATATTTAATAAATTAATAAAATTAATCTTTCTTAATATTTAAATATTAAAAAAAAATTAAAATGGCAATATGTAATAATTGAAAATAAGAATAATATCGATTGTGTAATCCCTTTACATTTATACCCGCAATATCGCGGGGAATATAATATTAGGAAAATCCAATCAAAATCTCAATATTTTTTTTAAAAATTCTTACCTCACACGAAAGCAGAAAATGACAAGTGAAATGCAGGATATCCAAGAATACCGGTAAGTGACAATGCAATTGATTCTTCCAAAACGCAAAAACGGTAACTTCAAATCAGAACGATGATTGACGATGAAACAGAGGATTTCCAAATAAAACGTTAACTGCAAGAAGAAAATAATACTATAGAAATTGTTTTTTCTAGTTAAACGAACACTATTTTATAAAAATAAATAGATAAAATACTTTTAATAGGTTTACAAATTTTTTTTAAATATAATAATATTTATTGATAGACACATTTTTAAGTTTCTTTTTTTTTCGAAAATAATTGGTTAAAAATTTGAAAAAAGAAAAAAAAATTGTGGTAATAATATTTTTTAGTTAAACATACTCTATTTTATAAGAATAAATGCAAAAAATAATTTTTTTAAATAATTCTGTTTACCCATGGACGACTTTTTTTTTATTATTTTTTTCCACAAAATTGATATTAAATTTGGAAAAAGAAAATAAAATTATGGAAATAATTTTTTTCAGTTAAACAAATTCTATTTTATAAGAATAAATTAATAATAATATAATAATATTCAATAAATTAATAAATTTAATGTTTTTGAATATTTAAATATTAAAAAAATTAAAATGGCAATATGTAATAATCGAAAATAAGAATAATATCGATTGTGTAATCCCTTTACATTTGTACCCGCAATATCGCGGGGAATATAATATTAGGAAAATCCAATCAAAATCTCAATATTTTTTATTAAAAATTCTTACCTCACACGAAAGCAGAAAATGACAAGTGAAATGCAGGATATCCAAGAATACCGGTAAGTGACAATGCAATTGATTCTTCCAAAACGCAAAAACGGTAACTTCAAATCAGAACGATGATTGACGATGAAACTGACGATTTCCAAATAAAACGTTAACTGCAAGAAGAAAATAATACTATAGAAATTGTTTTTTCTAGTTAAACAAACACTATTTTATATAAATAAATAGATAAAATACTTTTAATTGGTTTACAAATATTTTTTAAATATAATAATATTTATTGATAGACACATTTTTGAGTTTTGTTTTTTTTTTTGAATATGTGACGCGATCTGAAGAAAGGGACTTTAGAAACTCAAATTATAGGTTATGTTGTGAAATTTTTATTATTATTATTAATTAAGATTATTTATTTATTATTTAACTTTTCTTCAAACAATTGGAATTAAAATTTGTCAAAAAGAAACCTAATATTTACAGAATAGACCTTCTCATGCTGATCGTTCTGTCCTTATCTAGCGCATATAATGACGCATGAGTTGGAAGAGGACAGAATGATCAGCATGAAAAGGTCTATTTTAAATAATTTTATTCGAAAATTTAATAATTTTTTGAAATAAATATATATATATATATATATATATATATATATATATGTACATTATGTGTGTGACGTCACAAGTAGGCAAAATATTTTTGATCGCGAGCAAAGTAAAATAATAGAGAAAATAGCACCGATGCTTCCAGAGTGAGAAAAAATTGCACTTACATTTACGATGAATATATTTACTATTAACGATTATTCCATCATCCAATATATTATAAATTCGATTAATTTTGTAAATAAAATACAGAAATACCGAAATAATATCTATTTTTACAAAAATTTATCGATTAATAACGCAAAAATTGTGTGAACCACATTCTACGATTGTGGGGAAAAAATGACGCCAAGCCAAGCGTGCACAAAATGGGGCGGATTTTCAAGGATAAAATTTTCACGAAGCAAAAATTTACTATTTTAATTCAATTTAGAACCCGATTCTTACTTATTTGAAGAGTATTTCTGAATTTCGGACGAATAAAATAACTAACAAGAACACCGAATAGATCAATGAAAAAAATTTTAAACACTCAAATGATATTAACAAAGAATTCACTTTTTTACTTACACTTCTCTCTGCGACGAGTAGAACAATGAGGAACATGAGGAAGAAATGGTTTTAGTGGGAGTTTACTGGTAGCGCCACAAGTCGACACTTCCTGTCGTATGAAACTATACCAAAATGGCGAATTTGAATTCAAAACGATCAACTTTTAATAAGTAAATTTTAGATCTGTATTAATCTATTTTTTTCTATTTCAACACATTCATTTTTTTTTTTTAATGTCAACCACCTTTTTTTATAAGTGAATAAAAAACAATCAGTGAATTAAAAAAACAATAAAAAAGGAGGAGAAATCCAATGTAACGATTAAAGGCCTAAACAGAATAGCTTCGCGAAAGCGATATATTCGTATCCTTTTCTATCTCATGCATCTCGTTCGCGAACGACTTTCGCGAAGCTATTGTGCGTTGGCCCTTATGCTTCCAGCGTCAGAAATGCATGCACATGCGCAGTGTGAAAAGTGGGAAATTTAAAAAATAAAGTGAAATTAAAACATTTGTTTTCATTTACTTGATATTTGTATTATAATTAATTTTTTTATTGTTTAATTGTATTTTAAATTAATAATAATATACACGTACATTACAGTTAATTAAAAATTTTTTAAGTGATACCACTTGACAAGAAAAAGTGCTTAAATTAATTTAAAATTGTTTATAAACAAATTTTTAAGAATAAAAATATTTACTCATACACACATTTTTGATTTATTTTATTGACTAAAATTGGTGTAAAATTTGGAAACTGAAAATAAGATTATGAAAATAATTTTTTCTAGTTGAACAAACCCCATTTTATAAGGATAAATGTATAAAAGAATTTGAAATTGTTTACAAACATTTTTTAAGAATAACAATATTTACCAATAGACAAATTTTTGAGTTATTTTATTGAATAAAATATATAACATTTTTGTTGACATTTGATGCGCTTGAAGTTAGAAATCCTTCATGTCTAAAGGTAATGCAGATTTTCATTTTCAACTGTTTTTACAAAACATTTTTTAAACGGCTTTGCCCCCAATGACAAACATTTTTTATTTTTAAAATTTCACTTATATAAATAAAAAAATGAATTTAAATTTAATGCAGATCGTGTAGATAAATGATTCATTTATTCAATCGAAATGTTTTTAAGATCCAAGTGCTTAAAACTATTTTTTAAATTTGAATCTTCGATCAACGAAATTTTCATCTCTTCCTTGCAAAAACTATTTTTATATTATATTTCTTATTGTACTTAATATTTTCGAGTTTTTTTCTTTTCTAATTAATTGCTTTAATCATATTAATAATAAACTGTAAACAAAAATTGTATTAGATGAGAAAGAAGGAAGATATTTTGAAAAACGCCTTTGCCCCACATAGCGGCTTTGCCCCGCTCTCCCCTACATAATATTTCTAAAATCCAGTAAAAAATTGTGAAAGGTTGAAAAATATTTTATTTTAAATAATAATTAAAAAAAAAAGTTTTCTGTGTTTTTATTATTCCCATTTTCTAGTGAAATATTTTTTCAAAGCCGAGTTTTAATAGAAATTAATTTTATTTCAAATTTTCCCACCGAAAGCACAAAGACATTCGTGATTGGCTGAAAACAAGAAATAAAAAATTTGGACAAGTTTTTTAGCGTCACTTGTTTTGTTTTCTTTCGTGCGAATAGGCCTTAAATGGCGTACTTGGAAAACTGTTACTTTGCTATGATTGTTGTCAAAATATCTTTTATCTTCAATGTAAACAAAAGTCAATGACTAATGGGCAAAATAATTTTTGTGTGTTTCTTTTTTTTTGTTTTAAATGGATTCAAAGGAGAACAAGTATCGTTCTTTACCACCTCTTGTCGAGGGTAAAATACATGGATACTTAAATCTTGTTATTGACGAAGTCATTTGGACCAATATAAACCCTGGGGATGTGATTGTATTCGTCTCCTGGTGGGGTGAAGAGAACGAAATACAGTTTAGGTATTAATTTAAATTTTCTAATTTATTTTCTTTTATTTAAACAATTTATATTCTATTTCTATATATCGAGGTTAATTGTCAAGAAATTTTGATAATAATATACACTTTTTCAGGCCATTAGATGTTACAAAATTCTCGGAAAATTTTGAGGATACAGAAAAAACGTATACGATAAAAACAAATTTTTATCTATTTGAAGATTATATAAAAAATTGTGAATCTTTAGAACTTATAATCAAATCAGAGAAAACAAAGAAAGTTTTAGGGACAGCTCTTGTAGTTGATTTGTTAGATATTTTTAAAACAAAGCCTTTTACTCGCTATTTTCCAATAGTTGATAAAATTCAAAATAGAATAGGCAGTGTACATGTTTCAATAAAACTTAAAAATACCTCGAATTTTGAAAATATGCCGGCAAAAATGGGAACTAATCAAAATAATGAGATAAGTAAATCAGTAAATTTTGATATGAAAAGTTTAAATAAAGCCGATGGTGGTCCTGTGAAAATTGACTACTTATCATTGAGAAATCCAAAACACGAGGAAACAATTTATAGATCTATTTTAAAGGATAAGAGAATAGAGCCTATTAAGAAATTTAACTTTGAAGTTCCTGAAAAGCTTGTCGATAGATCGAATCTAAAATCAACAAAATTGAAAAGTGCTTTATTAAAAGAAGCTTTAATGGATGATTCCTATGTATACGATGCTGATAAATTTTTGTATGAAAATTATCATCCTGATGTTTGTCCCGAAAGAGAAGCAGATTTATATCAATATTTTCTTGGCAAGGATATGAATTATTTCGATGAATATGCGGCACTAGAAACATTAAGATCAACTTCTCCTACTCCAAGTTTAATAGAATTTGCAACACAATCAATTCATTGTTGTCAACGAAATAAGAATCCAATTTCCGAGACAACTACTAAGAAGAATTTGGAAAATGATACGAAAGATGAAATTGAAAAAATAAAAGTTGTTAAGGAAAATATTTCTACCGATATTAAGACTAAAGGTCCGTAAATTTAATATTATTTAAATTTATGAGTTTTTTTTTTTTTTAATTAAAATTTTTACAGAGATAACACCACTTGAGTATGTCGATTGTCTACAAATAATTGTGAGGTCATTCGTTTTGTCACCTGCTGGCTACAGAAGAGTGAAATCATCTTGTCTGACTCGTGATAAAGGTAAGGTTACTGATATTCATATCTAGAGAAAATTTTTAATTAAACTTGACGATATTTTTTTTTGTAGCTGATAGTGGTGTTCCATCTTCAGCAACATTTTTTGTACAATACGATGCTATTACGTCAAATCCAAGTTTGTTGAAGAAAAAATCAATGAATGAAAGAAAACCCGTAAAAATGACTTCTCGAAAGCAAATTGATCAAGGTATAATTTAGTCTATTAAAAATAACACAAATTATTAATAATATATATTAATGGAAAATGAAATTTATTTTACAGAAATTTTATTTTACCATCAAGGTGTGTACAATATATCAAAATCCTACGCCTATGTGAATAGTCCATTAAAATTTAAAGTCTTTCATAGACATTTAAATCAAAGATCACCAACTTTATTAGGAATTGGTACAATGCAATTGAATGAAGTGTTTGGGACAAAAAATTTAAGTATGACACAACGAGTTGCTATTATTAATAAAGGTATTAAAGTAGGTGAATTAGAAGTTGCAGTTGCATTAGGTTGTGATGGCATTCATTTTGGCAAAGAATTTATCGGTAAGTTTCAATTTTTTACAATTTTTACATTTTTTTTTAATTTAAAATAATTTAAAAATTTAATTAGATGCCGTGACGTCTGCGAAAGAAAATATTCCCGTGAGAGAATCTTTTTCTCCTCTTAATACAAAAAATGTGAATTTCAAGACTGTGACTGGAACTCAAAATTCAAATAGTGGAGTTTCTTCCACATCATCTAGAAGAATTGACACGCTCAGCAATGGAAGTAATTCAATAACAAATGATGAAAGAAGTTTAACTGGAAAAAGACAAACAAATGGAGACGATGGAAATATGGAAATTTTGATTACAAAAAGTAAACACGATGAAAAGGTAACAGTTTCTGTTTTAATAGTTTCATTTGCTTTAAATAAATAAAATAGATTTAATAATATATTGGAATTGTTTTAGGTTCTTTTACATGGTTTGATATACATATCTGAAGGCAGAGGTTTATCTGAATTAAATACTTATATTATTTGTCGAGCTTTTTGGAAAGAAGACAGAGCGATGAGTCGCATTTGCACCAATACAAAAAATCCTTTATATCATTTTCATCAAGTGAGTAATTTTTCTAAGATTTAATATTTAATTTAAAATTGATACTTCCTCAAATTAATTTCGTTTTTTATTTACAGCTCGTTCCTCTCATTCACGGTCCTGATTTACTCGAAAGAACAAAAGATAATTTCATAGTCACTGAGGTTTATAGCAAAACTTCTAACGGAGAAGATAATCTCATTGGAATTGCCAAATTTCCCATACATCAATTATACGTTGCTTATCGAGATTCTCATGTTTTGCCCTATTTATTATTATCAAAAGTAATTCTTTTTATCATTGAAAATTAAATTAATTTAATTATTAAATAATTAAATAAATAATTTTTTTACAGTATCCAGTGATTAGTGTGGATGGTTGGATTTTGATTAAGGATCCAGTAACCGGTGAAAGTAAGGGTCAATTACTTGGTTTGGTGGCCCTTGGAACAGCTGATCAAATTGCCCTCTTAGAAATGACAAGAGGTATTCGTGATTCTATCACTACACCTTGTGGATTAATTGGAACTACAAGTAATTCTAATCAAACAAATCGTCAAGATATTCCTATTTTAAATCTCGAAAATTCACAAACCAATAATCGAGGAATCACCGAAACGCCAAACATTTCCTCAAGGAATGAAGAATGCCAAACGGAATTTACAACTCGCGAAAAAGAAATTGAGAAAGAAGCAACTGATTCTTTAAAAAATCCAAATAAAGTTTTACATTCAATTGTCGATTGTCTCGCTCAAGCTCTACATGTCTCGAGAACAAATACAAATCAAGCTTCACAAACTGAGGAGAAAATTCACGAGGAACAAAGAACTGAAGCTTCTTGCTTGGATCCATTATCAATTATTTTATCCGATAACAGCAGTAATCGAAGTTCAAAGACAAATTTTAATCTTTCAACCGATATGTACAGAAGCGTTGGAGTTGGTGCTGAATTTGATGATTATTCAAATCAAGGTAATAATTTTAGTGAAACAACAACAGAAATTTCGGGAATTTTAAATCCAATGAGCAATGAACAAATGGAATCCGAATCTTTTCGAGCTGTCGTTGAAATAGAATGTGCTTTACATTTACCAAAAGTTGAAAAGGCCAATACAACTGTCGAGCCAAGTACTTATGTTACTTTTCAAGGAATTACGAGTCCAAACGAAAGACAATATTATTCATATACAAATATTTCCCCACGAACATGCAATCCAAGATGGGAATGGAGATGTGATACAAGATTACCCGTTCAACTTTTGACAAACGTAAGTTAATATTTGACACAACATATTTTCAGAAAATAATTTTTTTTCAAATTTCAGGATGAAAAGAAATTAATATTCAAAGTTTGGCGACTATTGGAACCAGAAACTTGCACTGATATTGATTTAGACAAAGATATAGTTATCGGTTTTGCTGCAATTGATCTTTCTGTATTAACTGCTGGATTTCCTCTTGTAACTGGATGGTTTCATATTATTGATTTTACAGGAAAATGTAACGGTCAAATAAAGGTAATTATCAACAAATTTTTTTTTAAATTTAATTCGGCATTGAATGTAAAATAATTATTTAGGTGAGCATAACTCCATTGGAGAGTATATCTACTTTTGGGAAATCTTCTTCTACAAGTGTAACAAAATTGCCGTCCGAACCTTGCCAATCGAATCAGTCAAATGAATCTTCACCTCGTCCGAAAACAATGCGTTTATTTAATGATTGTCAAAAAATTGACGATTCTAAACTTTCAAATACAATGATGAACTTCAGTTATCCGGCTTTTGAAGAGACAATGCCTGATATTGGATTTGGAGATGCATCACTCTCTCTTCTTTCATCGTCATTAAAGTAAATATCGCAATTTTATTGAAATATTTTTAGAACGTAAAATGAATATTTTTTGTTATTTCTAGACAAAAATTAACGGAATTGGATGAAATTACAAAACGGCTACAATCACGTTTGCATGATGTGACAGAAAATGCTTTTGAAGATGATTTTGAAAATGATTTTGAAATGAATGATCAAGAGTGTAATGGAGTGTTAAATGATTCTCCAGAAACAGGAGCAAACACAAAAGAATCAATTGTTCTTCCTCCGGCATCGAATACAAATTTTTCCATGGAAGTAAATCAAGAAAGAAATCCATCATGTTCAAGTGAATCACGTAATCATTGTTCTCCATCAAATACAATGGCGGTGGATTCAAATTTTTCCGATACGGGATATTCAACATGTTATAATAATCATCAATCCGGCTATTATTTTTTAAATGAATCATCAAATCCATATAGTACCAATTCATCAGATCGTGAAGAAGAACATCCAATAAAAGGAACTAAAATGCACGTAAATCATTTACTCGATAAACTTGCTTCACTACCACCGCCAGTTCCAATGGAAATGTTTCCAATGAAAATTAATATTATGGAATTATTAAGTAATTTACAGTGCAATAATAATAATTATTTTCAAAACGATAGAAGCAATCGAAATCAAGAAGCGAGAAATATTTCCGAAAATAATGGACATTCACAAGAAGAGAACTCAATTCAAATGAGTGAAGAAAATTCAGTGGAAAAATTAAAACCCCAATCAAGTAATTCGGAAAATAAAAATAAAGTATCAAGTGTAATTAGACAGGAATTATCACAAGAAGATGAAGGAAATGATTCAGTTGAATTTGATGAATTATCTGCACATTTAATGGCAACAAATGTACGTCATATGGATAGTGAAAATGTTTTTAATCCTCTTTTGTATCAACATTTACTTCCCGATGTACAACTGAGTCCTAATTCATTTAGTTGTTCTGTTTCACAAGATGTTCAAAATCGAAATACTGATGGTGATGCAATTCAACAGCTTGACAATAGATACACTGAGACATTTAATGCGGCAATTAATAGTGGATTAAGTAGATTAAGAAAAATGATGGAGAAGAATACATTCGCCAATAATAGTGACAATAACATACAAAAACAAAAGAGTTTATTTGAAAATGAAAGCACGGATGCTTGTCGTACAACAAGTGTCGCAAATGAAGATATTGATGGAAATATTGATATTACTGTGATTCATAGACCCTGTATTGATGATCTCATGGCAAGTAATAGTTCAGAATCTGTAAGTTCAACTTCTATGGAGAAATTTACGGAAAAACAATCCGAAACCGATGATGAAAATACATTGACTAGTTCAGAAACATCAACATCGACAATTTCAAGACAAGCACCTGATGGAGGTAATCCAATTGAAGAGTCCGACAAAAGGTTAAGTAAGAAACACAAACTTTCGAATTTTTAACTTTTCTTTAGAATTAAGAACTTTCGTATTTTTATAAATTGTGTATTTTATTTATTTTTTCTTTTTTTTTTTTAATTCAAAAACGAAGATGAAAATAATTTTTTTGGTCTAAAATGTCCAATTGCAATAATTTCTAAGTCAACTTATTGATTTTTAAGCAAAAATATTGATCTGTATTTTGTAATAATTAGCTTTTATGAAATTTTATAATATTTATTATAAATACTGCTTCTTTTATCATTTATCTTTTTTAAAATGTCAATTTCAGTACAAAAAGTTTAAAAAAGACAACAATAGAATTTATAATTTTAAATATCTAATGAACACGAATTTGGAGCCTAATAATTATTAATTTTTATTTTTTTTAAACTTCTAATTTTTTACTATAAAAATACAATAAAATTATTAGACTATAATAGTAAAAAATAATTGTTAAATTTGATGATAAAACAAAGTCAAATTCATACATAAAGAAAAGCATTTTCATTGTTTTTGACAAAGATACATAAATATTTATAATAAAGTACAAAAAAAAAATCATTGTGCTTACTGAATTTAAAAATTGATCATAATGAAATGTTATTATTCTGCACTGCGTGATATTGATGTTTAAAAAGAAAATCTCTAAACTTCCGCATATTTATATAATAATTGCAAAAAATATTCTTTATCGTTGTTTTTAACTCGACAAAAAATTACTTTTTTTTCATAACGTTACTTAAAAAATTGTTCTTATTTATCAAAACAAGAAATTCTTTTAAAATAATTGCATATACAAATAATTTATTATTTTTTATTGCGTTACAATTTTTTTTGCAAATGTGTCAAATGAAGAAATTTTAACAGTGAAAATATTAAAATTTCACACACACAAAAAAAAATGTATACGAAACTTTAATAAAAAAAAAATGAATATATTATAGTTTAGAGAGAAATGTCATGAAAGCATTTTGGTAGTAAAAAAAATATTAATCTTTGCATAAACTTGAATGAAACTTAAAAAACAAGTTACATGTATTTTTTTTGTTCACTATATTAACTATATAAAATATGCTTTTATCAATTGTAACTTATTTTGAATGAAAATTAATAATTTTTTTCGCCATGCGAGTTATAGAAAAACTTGGGCAAAATAATATATATACGAAATTCTCTATCTCTAAAAAAAGTGTTCTTTCTTAACGACTGATATACCGCACGTATACGTAAAAAATATCATATTATATGAGTAATCTATTTGTCGTTTTCAAGTTGCGTTAAAAAAATATAATAATTAATAATTATGTATACACTACTATGTGTAACATCGATATTTTTATACAATATATGTATTTAAATATACGCTCAAATATAACGAATAAAGGTATCTATAAAGTGGCTTATTGTAATTTAGTTAAATTATTTAGAAATTACATGTTATGAATACCAGTGATTGTATAATTATCAAAAATAAATTAAAAATAATTATTTCATTTCTATAATTTAAAGTACAAGTTTATTTTTATTTTTATCTACCAGTTACAAAATTATTTAAACTACAATTTTCATTTTTTTGGTAAAAATTAAATTGTACATAAATTAATTAATTTTAGTTAAACAATTAGGAATCGAAAAAACACGATAGATATGCTTCTTTACGAGCAGATTTTACAATTTGATTTGGATGAATTAACCAAACTTTTGCCGTTGTTCCCTCGTGTAAATGTATCCCTGAGCAATCTCTTAATTTCTGAAATAAATTTTTTAGTTTATTCTTTTGAGAATTTTTTAAAAATAAAATTTAATGAATAATTTTATTAGTTACAGAAAATTGGAAAAGTTCCTTCCTTGTAAATTTGGAATGATTTTTTTGTTGTTCCAACATGCAAGGTCTACAAAGGAAAATTTGATTTTCCCAATGCCAATAATCTCCGTAAGGTTTCTCCTCACAGATTTTACAAGTATCATTTTTTTGACTACAACATTTTATCTCAACTGGAAGATGTATTTTTTTTCGTCCACCAAAACTGTGATTGAAAAGAATATTACGTTTCTTGTCATAGGGATTATACAAGCCAGGTCTGTTGAGAAAAATTTTTTTTGTGTTCATAAATATCTTTAAATTTTTGTATTTTTAGGAAAAGCTATGAAGATTTCTAAATTATTTTCTTACCCGGGATTTTTATTGATCGTGTGGGATTTTCTCTTTGATGAAGAGAAAAATGGAGCTTTCGATTCTTTTTTATCAGACGAAAACAGAATTGGAGGACTATAATCACAAGGAGCTGGAGATTTTTCAGTCGATTTTGAATTTATTGCAAATCTAGCGGGACCACTAAATCCTCTTTTACTTATGGCACCAAGGCATGGCTAAATTGATTTTCAATTTACATATAACGTTTAATTTTAAAATGAAAATAATTAATTGTTTTTAATATACCTTTGTGTGAATACGTTTAAATGATTCTAGAACATTATAACTGCACGGTGAAATATTTGGATATTCATCTCTGGAATAATATTTCATGAAAGAATTCATTCCTCTTTTGGTAAACAAATCTCGAGAACATTTGGACCCAAAACATATTTCCTGCTCTTAAAAAAATATTTTTTCAACTCTTAACAAATCTATTATCATTTTAAAGAAATTTGCATAAATTGTATTTTTTTCATTCTATAATAATTAATATTTTAATTTTTTTAACTACATATTAAAAAAATTAAGTTTTAATTAATTAATTATTAAATTTAATATTGATGGAATAGTTAAAGAAAATTTATTATTTCTTTCATGAAAGTTTTGTTTAACTTGTGATAAAGTTTTATTTGTCATGACAGGAATGACTGTAATACCTATAGAATTGATTAATATACGCAATTTAGTGCAAATACTATATCTATATCTATAAGGTGCGTGCATGCAAAAGTTTTACATATTTCACATCAACATTGTCTTATAACTATAGTTATATTTCATTTAACTTTACATTCTCGCGTGATAAACTCATTTTGTCGTCTAAATGAACACACGACTATTACTATGGCAACATAAATGTAATGCCTCTATCTCCAGACGTCAATCAAAGATTATTGACTTTAGCTTACTTACTTACTTACTTACTGTTCAGTATTGTTTTCCTCAAAAATGAATCAATGTCCTCCAGAAAGTCTGTAACAAAAAAAATATATTTATAAATATTTATAATAATCTTTTAATTTTTATTTTATTATTTATTAATTTTAATATTAAATTTTTTTTATTTATTAATTTTATTATTAAATATTATTTTTTTATTAATTTTATTATTAAATATTTTTTTATTTATTAATTTTATTATTAAATATTTTTTTCTTATTAATTTTATTATTAAATCTATTATATGCAATGGAATTAGTTATGCAAACCTTTAGAATGTGATAACGATGTATTTGAAAACATTTTTTTTTTTGGAGAAAATGTGCTACATTAGATTTAAATTTCCAAAAATTATAATTAACGTCCCTTTTTTAAATTTTTTTCTTTTTTTTTTGACAAATATGAGGTTAAAAACATGTAATAGCATTTAATTTATTAAAAAATAGACGAATAGTTATTTCTTCTTCATTTTTTTCTGTTTATAAATATAAGGGATCGATACAAACATTATTTTTTTAAAAGAATTGAAAAATAATACGAGAGTCATAAAAATAAATAAAAAGCGCCCATTTAAAAAAAAAAAAATTGCCGCCCATTATATATTTAAAATACGACGTAATAGATTAGTTATTTTTTTATATCAGGTTGCGTCTAAAACTCAATGAAATACAAAAGAAGTGACCGACATTATTTCTTATTTTATCTTCTTGAATAATTAACAAATGTTTGTTTAATTAATTAATCGTTGATTGCAGTGCCCTCTTATTTTAACCTCTAAACTTTGAACCGGAACTGAAACGCGCTTTCAGTCAGAACAAAAATTATATTTGAAAATTATATTTTATTTCATAAAACAATTATTTATAATAAAACTAAAAGATAATTTTCATAAACTTTATAAACCTTTTTAAATTATTTCTAGAGTTGATTAACATGTTACAGATTGTAAATCAAAGTTTATTCAATGTCAAATAAGAACTGTTTACAGGAAGTTTGATAATTGTGTTGATTTGACTAGAGTAGTTTTTTTTAGTCAGAGACAGGTCGATGTTGTTTCTTGTTGCCGACGACGTCGGGTAGATCGTGGTAGTCGTCGACAATTCGAGATGCGTCCATCCGACACGACACGATGTGTTCTGCACATGGTGGCCAAGACGAACGACAAATATTCGTCTCTAGTTTTCTGCATTTTTCTACCGGTAAATATTCATCTTTTATTATTAATTTAGGTTAAAATTAATTAGAAAGTTGCGATTTGCTGTTAAATAATGAAAACTGAGCCGGCAATCGCAGAAAAATATAAAAATACGATTAAAAATTAAATCTAGACTATCATAATCATTTCAGTGTCGGATTTCCGATTTATGAGACCTATTACTTGTGAATGTAGGTTTTTTTTAGAAAACATTTTTTTAACATAACTGTTTATGGATGTGATTTTTTTTTTAAATTAAAATGTTTAATAAAGAATTTTTTTTTGCATTCAAGGACACAGTGACAAACATAGGTGCTTATATAGAATGTTATTTTATACGATTTTTATTTCTTTTTTTAGTTTTAAGATTATAAATTTATTATCATAATTTTTTTTATCATCTCTCTAAAATATTGTATTTTATAAATGTTTAGAGCGTATAATATTGATGAAAAAAAGTTGAAAATTATTTTTATTTTTTTTCAAAATGTTGTTATTGCAACATAATTTCAATATTTATTTGGTATATTTTCGTAAAAGTACGTCATTTTTTTTTTTTTTTGTAATGTGAAAATTTTCATTATTTATATTTTTTGGATTTAAAAATAATGAAATTTAAAGAATATTAAAATTATAAGATGCATGTTAAAGAAAGAAAGTGTGATATATAATTTAGAAAGCATTGCTTGCATTGCATAATTAAAAGTAAGAATCGCCTTAATATCCAAAGTAAGATAAACCTTATATGTACTTTGGAAACTAGTTTGCTATTTAACACCTAATTTTATAATTATGCACTACTTGGAAAAGGCCTTGAAATTATTTTTCTCTACTTATAAAACTGTATTATTCAGAAAGCAAATAAGAAAAAGATGTGAAATTTAATTCAACTGGGAAGAACTTATTTCAATAGTTAATTATATTTTTGGTTGATTTTTATTTTTAGATAAATCTTGTTAAAAAAACTCGTCCACCATGACCACATCATCGGAAGATGTTCTTATGCAAGTAGGACAGGTCCGTTATAAAAAAGGAGATGGCACTTTATATGTTATGAACGAAAGAATAGCTTTTATGCTAGAAAAAAGCAACAAAGTATCTGTCAGTCACAAATATGCTGACATTAAATGTAAGATTTGTTATTTTTTAAACAATTTATTTCATATTTTTCAAAATAATTTATAAATTTTATTGGTATTCAGTGCAAAAAATATCTCCCGAGGGGAAATCAAAAATACAATTACAAGTAGTTTTACACGATGGACAATCGTCAACATTTCATTTTGTAAATAAAAATGGTCAAGAAGCACAAATCAAAGATCGTGACGATGTGAAAGAATTGCTACAACAATTACTACCTAAATTCAAAAAGAAAGTCAATAAAGAACTAGAAGAGAAGAATAGGTAACTAGTTTTACGATTACGATTTATTTATTTTTTTAAATGATCTAAATTTATCAATTCTATTTTTAGATTACTCCAAGAAAATCCATCATTACTACAATTGTATCGTGATTTAGTAATTACGCAAGTAGTCTCGTCTGAAGAATTTTGGGCACAGCATGCTGTAGAATACATGCAGGCAAAAAAAGTTCAACAACAAGAAATTGGTGTAAATGGTGCCTTTCTTGTAAGTGAAAAATAAATTTTTTATTTTTATTCGAAAATATTTTTCATATTATTTATTTAATATATATTATAGGCCGATATTAAACCACAAGCTGATGGCTGCAATGGATTCAAATATAATTTAACTACAGATATAATAGAATGTATATTTAAAACTTATCCAGCTGTTAAAAGAAAGCATCAAGAAAATGTGCCTAATAAAATGAAAGAATCTGAATTTTGGATGAAATTTTTTCAATCGCACTATTTTCATCGAGATCGTATCAATGCAGGGACCAAGGATTTATTCACCGAGTGTGCCAAAATTGATGATCAAGAAATGAAAAAAGACATACAAACGGGAATTAATGATCCCTTGCTCGATATTACCTCTTTTGAGGATAAAAATTTAGATGAAAATTATGGTAGTGAAGTTGGAAAGGCGGATAAACCATCGGGTAATATTGTACATCAAAATATGATTAAAAGATTTAATCAACACAGCATTATGGTAATGAAAGCTAGCACTGCCAAATCTTCAAATAATTCAAATGAAACACAACAAATGAATGGATCTGCATCATCGGCAAGTAAACATCCAACGACAAATGATAATCTAGACGAACCAAAGATTAAAAAGGTAAAGAGAAATTAAAATACATTAAAGAAATTTATTTTTCAATTATTTTATTTTTATTATAGCTTAGGATACAAGAGAAGTTATTGTACGATGATTTGGATACGAGTTGTGATGTACAGACGAATAATCTATTGCCTCTTAAATTAACGCAAATTGATAGATATTTGCATGGACCAGTGCCAGGAAGTGAAAAATTTGGAGTTAATCAAAAAGAAATACCGTTAATATTAAATCAAATGAGGATAGAAATTGGAAAATGGGGAAATGGTGCAAGTTTACCGAGACAAGATTCGAAAACTTTAGTAAGTCCAGGAGCAGCAGTTTTAGCTTTAGGAGAACTCACACCTGGAGGAGCCTTAATGAAAGGTTTTAGAGAAGAAAGTCTCGGACGTGAGTTTCATTTTTTTTCAACTCTTCTTAAATATTGGAATTTTTAATTATATTTCTCTTTTCTCATATAGAACTAATACCAAAAGACTTGGAAAAAGAATTGCGCAATGTCTACGTCTGTCTTTGTGAACTTCTTAAACACTTTTGGAGGAGTTTTCCACCAACAACACCACAATTGGAAGATAAAGCTGTTCGTATGCATGAAGCACTTCAAAGGTTTCATTCAGCAAAACTCAAACCGTTTGAGGTAAATTTTATTTTCAACAAATAATCTCGATTAAAAGGGTTAAATAAAGAAGAAAATTTCTTTTTTAGGATCGTATGCAGAGAGATTTCTCAGCAGTTAGTCAACATTTAACGAGTCACTTGAATCAACTTTTGAATGCAGCCTATAAGAAATTTGCTGTTTGGCAACAACGAAAAATGCAAATGAGGTAGCCATTATTAAACACATTTCAAATGAATTTTTAAAACAGAAAATTTCAAATAAAAACAAAGTAATACGAATGAATGTATATTATAATGTTACCGTAATGAAGAATGTTAGACAATTATCATTAAAGAAACCAAAGTGAGATATATAAATAGTACCGCACCTTTAAGAAAATTATTCTTTTTTCATCTTAGAAATTGCTTATTTATTATTTCATATTCTGTTTTAACACCCAATATTTACTAAATCGGGAATCTCGGTTTTCGTGATATATTAATTTAATTATTTCACAAATAATTATTAAATAAGAATGTTGTGTAAATATAATTCGATCTAAATCGTTTAGGAAACTTCGAAATAGTAGGAAATTGTTATAAAAAAAATTGTTGTGTTAAAAGAAAATTTTTTCAAACTAAAAGGAAATCAAAGTGAGTGTAATGTTTTTATAATTAATTAAATAAAAAAAATGCAATTACAGGAAAAATTAATTTTTTTTGTCTTGTACGTTCATTTTTTTTTTTTTTTTTATAGAAATAACACTTTTTTCAATGTATGCCTGTAATGTCAGTGAAGACTATAGATGTACTATTTTACTGCGAATGTATTCAAATAAGTGTCTTAATAGTCTTGTCAATATTTTCTTACCTGAACGGAGCTCGGATTTATGACTTATATATGATCATACAATTAGTTTATAATTCAAGTCTTTGTCTTCATTTAATTGTTTACTAATGTCATCGTATAAAAGTTCTTTTGCTATAATTTTAATTATCAATGTAATATTTATGTTAGTAATTATTAAGTATTACTGTATTTTCGAATTAGAAATATGTTCTTACACAATTATTTCAATAAAAATTATCATTGTAAATAAGACTCGTGTATTAATTATTTTTTTAAATTATTATATTTAAAACAATTATTTTCATTATTCTTTAAATATTCCCTCCATTTTTATTTATCAATCAACAGGTGGCGCTTCTCTATTGTTGATTCAATTCAAAATGGCGGCCTATAATGGACATTGAGAAGTACAATATAATTGTTAGCAAATTTTCTCGAATTAAGTGATTTGTGTAGCTTTAATTTAATGTGGTTTAAATATTGTATATTACATACATTATGATTCGTGAGAAAACTGAAGAGTATTAAAAGAGTTACAGTTTTGATTCTTTTATATATTTAATCCTTGTGTTGAGTGTCGATTCGCCGATCTGTGGCCATATTTCTATATGATATTTGATAAAACGTTGATATATGTTTCTACAAATATTAACATTAAATGAGCCACAACATCATTAACAGTAAAAAATTAAGGTAAACTTTTAGGTCAATTAAATAATGTATTTTTTTCAGTTCGACATGTCTTAATCATTAGGAGTCAAAATCTCAAAAGACGCTGACCTTCCTGATCGCGAATCTTCTAATACATAGTTTGGTGCCGAAACTTGTTTCTCACACACATGACATCATTTTATTAATTTTCCTTTATATTCAGTTATGTATTCAATTAAATGCTATTGTTAATAGACAATTCTTTTCAAGTTTCAATGAACGTGAATTAAATTTTTCAATGACTGTTTATTTTCAGTTATATTAATTTTTAATTTGCAAAAATAAACATACTTTCTTTTAAGGTGTTTTTGACAAAAATGTAAAAACTAAGATTATCTAATTATAAAAATTTGAAGAATACAACTTTTTGAAGAAAATATATAAAAGAAGGAAACTTCTTTTATTAGAATTTATATCGCAGGTGTTTGGGTTTACTTAAATTATTTTCCAATTTTAACCCTTTTTTTAAGGTGGAAAATAGTTTTACTTGAAATAGATTTCGTAATTTTTCCAAATGTCAAATTGTTTTATATTACAATTTATGATGTAATATTGAGAAATGAAAAATTATTAATTGCACCGAGTCCATTTCTTTTTATTATCAAAATGTTCTAATTTTTGTGTTATTCTTTAATTGAGAATTATTGGAATAAATTAATTTTTTGTATTTTAGAAAAAAAAGTGGATGAAGGCTATCAGATGCAAAACGCAGACCATCCAGATTAGGCACCTTAAGTGCCAAAATTAGGTGATGGATCCCAGTGGTCCATGGTATACATCGTATAATCGTTTGAGTACAAGTACAGGAAGTGCTACTGGTACTTTTCAAACAACAAGTGCAAATAGTGAATTTACTAATCATCATTTAGTAACAACTGCTACTCAACCTGCACCTCCTGCAACAACTTCTCAATTAATTTTGCAAGCAGCCCATACAACTGCAACTCTGGCGGGCCAACCAACACCTTTTAATCCAGGGGGATTCCTTTCTCCTCCCCCTGCGAGTTACGATGTATTTTCACCTTTATTTCATCACACAAATTCAAAGCAAGCCCATTATGTAACACAACATCGTCAAGTGCTTGCTCAAAATCAAACTGTCGCTGGAATTAAACAAAATGCACCCGAAAATGATATTCCAACACTCAGAGAAAATTATAGTGCAGCACATCAATCAAACTTTTTTGAAAATCAAACATCAACAACGACTCCTACCGCTTCTACTTTGGCATGGACTCATCAAAATAACCCACAATTACCAAGCCCATTTGGTATATTACCACACGAAAGCGTTTCATCTTCTCCAGGACCACCATCCACAAAACCTGTCACAACCTACGATAATTCCTTTAATACTCATTTTGTAAGTGGTCAACCGATCAACAATTTAAATACCCCAGTTGTCGCGGGAACAGATTTCAAATCATCAACTTACGATAATAAAAAAGGCCCAAGATCACCCTCGCCAGTTACTTCTGCTAAATCAACAGTTACATCAGCCCAAACATTTTTCCATCAAGTACCAACTAATTATAGTTCCGATACACTGTCAAATAATTATTCAACTAACAATAATCAGCCGTCAGTCAAAGTTCAAACACCCTTGACACATCAGTCTTGTATTGTTTCAACTTCTCGAACAACTGCACCAACAACAATTTTTCTCAATTCAATAACAAGATCCGCTCCCTCTCAATTGCCCGAAAAACAATCAACAAGAACCACCAATTTTCCCTCCATTCCAAAAACATCACAACAAGCAATACAAACAAAAGCGCAGGCAAAAATTTATCCCGAAATTAATGAACACAGAAGAACTGATCAACATGAAAATAGTCAATCATCACCGATTAGTTTCTCTATCATGGATTCAAGAAATTATACAAACTCCAATTGCAATACAAGTAATAAAATTCCAAGTGGTCAGAGAACTCCTAACAATAATCTTCACAATCAACAACAATTTCATGTATTGAATCAACAACATTTTGAATCAGCTTCCTATAGACACTATTCAGGTTCAACGAGTGATTCCGAGTATCATCATCCTGGAAGATCAAAATCAACGGCCTCAACTGACAGCGCCTATTCATCGAATACATCAACTCAAAATGGACCCGACTGTGGAGTTGTTGTTCCAAGAAGACCTAGTCCCCTTCAAGCACATTCACAAGCAAGTCCATTGGGTCATGTGCCAAGTCCCGCTTATCCAATGTACAATAGTCCAATGGCAACAATTTCCTCTCCGTCGCCCCTTCATGGCGACAGTAACAGCAATCAATGTTCCAATGGTGCATCAACCTACAAAACAGGAATTCAAATAACTCCACCATCCCCCCTGGATGTCACTGTTCCCAGACCATCTTCACAAACTCAAGTCGCCTACTCGTCAGTCATCACTCGAGCCTTAGGATCCAATGAAAAAACAACCTACAATGAAGGACGAGCCTACGAACGACAAGAATTCCTCCCATCGCAAAAACAAGTCTGCTGGGACGATAGTCGTACATCACGAAAATACATCGATCCCTATGAAACAAACCCCGAGGTTAATAATCATCTAACAACACAACACAGAATCATAACAGAAAGACAGCAAAATTATTTCGACTCCAATCAGGTACCATTGCAGGATTTAAGTAGCTGTCGAGGTGATCCTATGACGATTGTAAAAAATCTCCAACAAACTTCCTGTCAAATTCAACAACCAATTGCAACCGATCAATTGAAATTAGACGACAGACGAAAACCCGAATCGCCAACAAAGAAAAAGAAAAATTCCGATTCAGCAGTTGTAACAGAGTACTTAAACAGAATTCCACCGCCTGCTCATCACAATACAAATCAACCACAAAATGGTTATTTTGAATTTGAACGTTGGAATTTACCGCCACCACCACATTCGAAAATGTTTCCTTCAAGTGGCGCATTTGCCTCACAGCATCATTCGACAAATTTCGTTGGTCCAACACATCAACATCAAACATTCTCACATCAACCGCCTCTTACATATTTTCCCGCTTTTCACATTACACCAAGTCATCATGAATTTCAACCCACCGTGGAAATAACACCACAAATTGGAGAGACACAAAATTTCACCCCTGAAATTCGTGACGATAAACCAAAAGTAATAGTTCCTGATATTGAAGAAGAATTAGGATTTCTACAACAAAGTCAAATAATGGCTCAAAATACGGATCCAAAAATGAGGGGTAAAGAACCAAATACTGGTTTTATGACAAGTTATTTGAAATTTCTTCAAGGCGATCGTGATCCATCGCCTGAATCATCAATGAAAAGTGGTAGAAAAGCATCGTGGAATAGGTCGAAGCCTTATATACCACCGGAGCCAATGAGACCATCAGATGGATTAATGAATAATGGTGATATTATAAAATCACAATCAATGAAAAATAAAGAAATACCACAAATTGATTATGCAAATGATCCAAGGTATTTTCCCTTGCCAAAAGAGAGGAAAAATAAAAATTTCGATTCTAGTGATGGTGGCTTTAGTAGTGATGATGATTTTCTATTTAGTGCGACAAAAAAAATTGAAAAGAAGAATAATAATATTAATGCACCTATAAATATTGTTGCTGATGTTATGAAAAGTGAGGTGAAACCTAAAAAAGGAAGGCCTATTAAACCAGGAGGTCCAACGGATAGAAAAAGAAAAGCAGCGGCCGCCGCTGCTGCTGCAGCCGCTGCAGCTGGTCTCGATGGTGTTCCAATTACAATAACAAAACCGAAAAAAGCTAGTGAGTAAAAAATTTATATTTTTATATTTTCTTTTACAAGGTTTTTTTTCTGAAAGTCAGGGAATTTTTTTCGTCCTTTTGAACAGAGCTCGGATTATACTTTTTCAACATTTTCTGACTTTTTTTCGAATTATTTGAATAAGATGCGATTTTTTCGACTTTTTTTTTACATTTTTTTAAAAAATTTTTTAACAAAATACGTCTTTTTAATATACAATGCAAATCTTCTTTATTTCAATTATTTAATAAATTTTTAACTAAAATTTTTCTCTAAATGAACTATTTTCAAAAATTTTAATAAAAATTCTTCACAAATTCAATTATTTTAAATTATTCTTCAATTAAAAATTTTATGAAATTCAACAATTGTTTACAATTTAAAAAAAAAATCATATAAAATTACCAAAAATTTGAATTTAAATCCTTTTAAAATTTTCCATCTAAAACTGTTTGAAATATAATAATTTCAATTTTAACTCTTTTTAAATTAAATCATTTTTAATGATTTTTATAATTTTCTTCAAAAATTAAATTATTTGAAAGCATTTTTTAATTAAAAACTTTTAAAATTGAATTTTTGTCTATAATTTCTAATACAAATTTATCAACAACTGAAATGAGAAAAAATTTCAATTAAAAATCACTTGCAATTTAATTATTTTAAAACATTTGAATGGTAAATCTTTGAAAATTCAATTACTTTTAAAAAATATCATCTAAAATTGTTTGATAAATTATTTTCAATTCTGTAAAATTTAATTATTGTCTGGAATTTAACAAAATCTTTTGAAATTCAATTATTTCGAAAAATTTCAACTATAACTCTTCCAAAGTTCAATTATTTTTATTAATTTTAAAAGTTCTTTAAAAATTCAATTGTGTATTTAAAAAAGTTTCAAATAAAAACACTGAAATTGAATATAATCATAAATTTCGAAACGATACTGAAGTACGCAACGTTTATAATAACGGATTTTTTAAAAATAATTTTTTAGAATGAAAAATTCTTTATTTTTTTGATGAACCTGAAGTTCGCAACGTTTTTAAAAACGAAAAATTAAAATAGAATGATTTTTTCAAGTCATTTTATTATTAATTTTGATTTGCACAAACTTTTAAGAAATTAATCTTTTTATAGAAGCCTCCGAATAACTTTAATTTTATGTCAAAGTAATACATACCTATTATCTAATTATTTTTTCGTTTATAAAAACGTTGCGGACTTCAGTTTCATATTTTTTTGCGTGAAAAATATTTTTTGTAGTTTTTATTAATCAACAAATTATAAAAAATGTTTTTGTAGGTAAACAATTTAATAATTTTCCGTGTTAAATAAAAATTCATTTCCAATCGTTATTCATAAACGTTGCGTACTTCAGCATCGTAATTTCGAAAAGGGCTCAACTCCAAAAATCGTGAGAGTCATTTTCACTTATTAATTTTTATGCGAAAATGACATTTACGCTTTTTCGAGTTGAGTGTATTTCGTAATTTACGATTCAAATGTTGTCAGAATGGATTTAATATCTAATAACATAAGTTATTTAAAGTAAAATACTTATTAACTAAATAAATTTAATTAAAATTAAAAAAATCGATTTTTTCAACTTTTTTTAAAATGTAAATCGACTAAAACGACGTTTTTTTATCCTCAAAGTCGATCCGAGGTCTGTAAATATTATAATTTAAAAAAATCCGATCTAGGTATTTGATTTAAATTCGATTTTTTTTATTTAAATCATGATTTAAATGTAAATAATCCTTGGGTTTAAATATTGATTTAAATCACGATTAAAATCAAATTTAAATCATTGCAGCCCTGCTTTTGAATATCCTTGAAAAATATTTTTAATGTCCACAATATAGTTTCACAATTTTTCACTTATAAATTAATAATAAATTTGCATTTTTTTTTATTTATGAAAAATCGATTTGTTTTTATAATAATTATTTTTAAAACTGTTCATTTTATATTCATCATTTATAAATGTTATAATATTTGTTTTGCATGGGTTTCTAGATCTAATAAAACAATTAATTTGTAAGTATTGCATTTATTTCACTAAAAACAATGTAATACATATAAATTTTGCAAAATTTTAAAATAATGTAATTTGTCATAAAAAATGTTAAACATAGAAAATAATTATTTGTTAAAATAATGAATATAAAATTAATTGTAATAATAATGAAATCTTATTTTTAATGTAGTACGAGAAGTAGTATTACAATATTTAAATTAATTTTTTATTCGTTTTTTTTAACAAATAATTATTTTCAATGTTTAACATTTTTTATTACAATTTACATTATTTTAAAATTTAGCAAAATTTATATGTATTACACTGTTTTTAGTGAAATAAATGCAAATGATAAAGGTCCACATTGTGAGCGAAATTAAGCAATAATTAGAAATTAATTATTTCATTGAATCCTAAAGCCCATGCAAAACAAACAATAAGCAATACAATGAATTCTTATATTCATAAATGTTAACAAATAAAAATTTGAGGCTAGTTGTAGACACTATTTTACTAATTTTATTTATTTTTTTAAATTGCTTTTTCTAGATTCTATCGCATTACCACCAAGACGTGAAACAACACTAAGAAAAGCAAAGGAAAAATCGTCAGTTAAAAAATTATTGGATCAACAACAGGGCATTGATTACTATGATAATGATGAGGAATTGGGTAATTCAGATTCTGATCCAGCTTGGACACCAGCTGCAAAATTAGCTGGCGATGAAGAGGATAAAAGAAAAAAGCGCGGTAGACCTGTAATAAGCAAAAGATCACGAAAAGTTATCGATGAAGATGGATATTCATCGGGTGATTTGACAGGTTCCAAAAAAAGTGGAAGAAAAAAACAGGATATCTATGCACGACATTCAAATAGTAATAAAAATTCTTGTAGAACTGATGAAAAATTACTTACTTCTGTGAGCGATGACGATATCGATATTTCACCATTTAAGGTTTGTGTATTTTCATTAAATTTTTAATTGAAAAAAAAATATTGTAATTGATATTATAAAAAATTTACGTACATGCAGCGTTCAATGGACAATGGAGACGATTGGGTAACTTAATTTATATCTAAAATTTGAATTGTTATTAAATTCTTTTGAAAATACAATTTTTTTGTTTCTATTTCAGTCGGGAGAATTTGTGGTCATGAAATCAGATTTAGATGAAAAGTTCCCACCACTTTGGAGAATTGATGGGAAAACATTACTTCAAAAATACGAGCCATTTATTTCGAATGGAAAAACTTACTATCGAAATATATCAACTGTAAGAATTTTTTTAATTTAATTAACTTATTTTTGATATTTTTAAGTAATATTGTTTTTTCGATTATAGTATTCTGGATGGTCACCACAAAATCGACACGATTATCAACAAGTTCCGGTTAAATTCTGGCAGCAAGATAAAGTCGAAACTGTCGTTGAATTTCTAAGAGAAGAAATGATTGTCGATGATGGGTAAATATTTTTTATTACATTAAAATTATGAAGAAAAAATAATTAACATTTTTTTTACAGCGAGTACATTGAGAAATGTATGAAAGGAACTGAAAAATATCAAGATCATTTTGAAGTTTACATTCAAACTTTAATATCTCAGGCATTGGATTCGAATTTCCTAACAGAAATATTTCAAGAGCAAGGTTAGTTAAGAATTGTATTTTTTTTTGTTGATAAATATTTTTTTTCATAATAAAAATAAATTCTTTTTAATTTAGATGATTATTTCTTGTCAAATGTAAAAACTGTTGATGATGTAACGGAGGAAAGAAAACGTCGTTTATTATCAACAACAAAATGGCATTCAAATGTTGTAACGGCTGTTTCAACGTGGCCATGTTTAAATATTCTTAAAGATTTACCACAATCTGAATATAAAGGAAAACTTTGTGCCGGTTGTCAAAATGATAAAGTAAACACTCGAGTTTTACTCTACGGTCAACCGTACAACGGAACTACTTTAGAAGGATCGCCACCTGATCCAAAAGTTCTTCAAGAAAAGGTAAAAAATCGTTTTTTAGAAAATTTCTACAAAATTCGACATCATTTTTCTAATTATTGATTGTTTCAGGACTTTTTGTTTTGTCGCATTTGTCAAACTAAAATTGCACTTTTCAATAAGGTAGCGCATCAAAAATATCTTATGTTTTTGGAATGTGCAAGAAGAGTTGGTGATAAGAGAGTTTCTGATCCGCACAAAGATACAACAATAATACTTAATGAACTTCTGGCCGATGAAACGTGGTTAAATCAGGTATTTACTTTTCTGTTTCTGTATTATTCAATTTATTAGAATAGTTATTATTGAATATAAATTTTCAGTTATTTAAAGAAGTAAGAAGAATCTGGGCAGAAATCGATGCAATTCATTATCATTATATGAAAGTAAAAAATATCCTCGAATCTGGTATTAATGATAATTCCACAAAATCTGTTTTTGAAGCAGTTGAAGGATTAAGTACAACTTCAAATTTACAGTTACCTGCTCAAAATATGAACTGTATCCCACAAAGCTTTACTCAAATTATAAATGAAACTGAATTGTCATAGTGGTGCTAAAGATTGAAAAAAAATTCAGTCATTTAAACTTTATATATACATATATATATATAGAAAAAAAAACTCGTAATGTGCACTTAAAAGATAAAAACTGTGAATAAAAAATTGGTAAAGAAGCATAATCGAGAAAATATAAACTAAGTTGTAAAGGAAAAAAAAGTAACATAAACGCGCACCGAACTTTATGTAATATACGCACTACTTTATAATAATTAGATTTATGCCCCAAGTTTCGCCATTTACAATAGTTTATTTTCTGCGAAGAATATTTCGCAAATATTTTGTGTGAATATAGCAAATAGATATTTGTAATCGCTTCAAAGCAGAAAATATTGTGAATTCAAACAAAAAAAATTCTCCGGAAAAGTTTTATGAGCGTTTCAAGTGATATAGACTAAAGTTGTTCTAATGTTAATTATTTTATTTTTTTGAAAGAAAATTTTTTATTTTCTGTATCTAAAGTACAGACTTTTCACAAACATTTTTTTTTTTATTTCTTTGACTTTTTTTTCGTTAATTTACTTTATTTTGCTACTATTTTTTTCGAGAGATTAACATTGGCCTGAATATTAAATTTTTGTTTATTTAAATTTCAGAAAGCAATTATTATTATTGTACTTTCTCAAAGCAGGGACAACTACAAATTTGAATTTCAAATTTTTTTTGCATCTTATATAATGTTGATTATATTGCACATGCTTCTTTTTTTTGTACAATGCTTTCATTGTATTTTTTTGTTTCTTTAAAATATATTTAAAGAAATGGTAATTTATAAAAATTAAATAGTGTCTATTTTTTAAAAATTCTTTAAAACAAAAAATTTTAATTATTTTTATTAAATTATTTTTTGGAAAAATTGTGGAAATTTTAATCACAATTTTTAAAGATTTAAAAATATTTTTTTTCAATGCACGTTTTTACAAAATATTAAAAAAAAAGAAAAAACAATATTAAAACGAAAAATGTTGTCTCTGGTTGAGAAAAAAATTATAAGATCGACTAGAATGTACATAAATCGCGAATATTTATGTAAGAATTTTTAATGTGCTGGAAATTACTTTTTATATATTTTAGTTATATTTGGACTAAGTTCCGTTTTGATCTTCCTGAAAATTTGCGATAAAGTAAATTACATTTTCCAGTAGATGATAACAATTTAATAGTAGTGATAAATATAAGTAACAAATTTTATTAATTATTATTACTATTATTATTATTATTATTCATATTGTTTATGCCTTACGATAAAGTTTAAGTTTTGACCAGGTTTATTGAAAAAAAGTGACTAGAGATTGCGTGATATGCGTGATTGGCGCGAATGTATTTTTGAAAGATGTATATCAAATTATATTTGTAAATTGTAAAAATGCGTTAGTGAAAAAGTAATATAGTTACAATTTTGTAGCTATAATATGAAAACGGTATTTCTTATGTAATTAAGAAAAATATTGAAATAATACCATCACAAAAAGCAAATTGCTAAAATAGAAAAGAAAGACAGTTTGTCATAAGGTGTTTACTTCTTTTATTTTTCGTTTGAAAATAAATGTGCCATGCATTCACTGAATTTAAATGATCCTTTGTAATTGTATTAAATATATTTATCGACTGAATTTTTTTTTATATTCTTTCGGTAATGTGTATAACATACCAAAACAGAAATAATTCTTATGCAATCAATATCCTAGTGGTTCTTTTAAACTTTTAAGTATATCGTAAACGTTATTCAAAACAGAAATTGTACGATTATTTTTTACAAAAAATTATAAACAAATTTTCTCATAAGCGCTTGTAATCTGTTTTAATGAGAAATGTTTTTTTATTAAAATAAGACTACAATGTTTTACAGTTATTTTCAACGAAAAAAAATCAAATTATAAATATATTAAATAATGAAATATCACTGGCATAATTTATGTTTTTATTAAGCATTTCTAAATAAAACAAATTAAAATTGAGAACAACTGTTTTGTTATTGATTCCTGCTTTTCTCAATCATATTTGAAAAAAGCGCCTAAAATCAGGGGCGTGACATTTCAATGCGCATGCGTTAATTTTAATAAACAGTGTAGAGTAGAAATGACAGATGTTTAATTAATACAATAAACAGTAATTTACAACAATGCAAGATGATAATAATATTGACACAATATTATTCAATATAAAGATTTGTCACAAACAATTATTAATCTTGAATGTATTTTGGTGCAAGAAAATAATTTAAAGAAAAGGTTAGGATGAGTTGTGTTAAATGCTCATAAATTGATAAATTCAATAAAAAAGTGCTTTTAATTTTTTTTGTATACACTTGATAATTTTTTTATAAAAAAAATGGGTACAAAAACTCTAAGTTCAATAGCTGAAGAGTATTTTTACACAATTAATCCTTTGGCTCAACGAATTGGTGAAGATGTTGCTGCAACAAAAGATGCCTATGAAGGACTTTGGAATACCTTAAGTTTATCAGAACAAAATCAGGCTATTGATGAAACTATAATTACACCAGAAGTTGCACTAAAATATGCTGCAAAAAAACTTGAATCTAACAAGGAATTACCAAAATCATATCCAAAATTGTGCATACAAACTGGGATGAAATTTATGGTGGATGAAACGGGTTCGGTAGGTGATTAATTTTGCTAACCATATATATATATTTATTATTTAAATTTATGGGTTTATATTTATATTTTAGACTTTACGCTGGCGTGATGAACATTCAGCACCGTTTTCATTTATGACACAATCACAAATGAATCTCAGTTTATCTGATTCGAGCGAAGAGATGAAATCTTATTCTTATGGGAATTATATTATGGGAACATCACATTATTCAAGTCCAATGAAAAATTCTAATGATAATGAAATTTCGCTCAATGGTGATTATAATTCATCTCCAAATAATTTGTGCTTTTATAAGTCTGATAATTATTCAGATACTATTTTTTCTACCAATGAATGCAGTAATCTTCTCAATAGTCTAACAGACAGTGATAATTCCGAAAGCATTTTTTCCAAAATAATTAACAAAACTTCTTTACTTCAAATACAATCTAACTATAATGATGATGACGATGACGATGATGATCTCGAAAGTTTGGTGCCAATGAGAAATGCACAAAAATCATCAATTAGTGATAAATCACAAATGAATATTAGTTTAACTAATGTAAGAAAACAATCTAGCGATACCACTGAATCAACTGCATTGTTAGATACTCCAAGTTCTTACAATAGTTATCAATCTTCTCATTTGAATCATGATGATTCCATTCCAAAGACTGGATTTGAATTTTTAGATAATTGGTAATTTTTTATTTATATTTTCAAAGAAAATGAGAATTAATTAATATCAATCCCTATATCATAATATAGAATCTATTACTCCAAATATAGTATTAGTATCAATGTAAAGGAAAACTGTTTTTTCTTTCTTTTTTTTAAATAAGGTACATATAATTATAAAGACTGTTCCGAACAAAATATTTCAATATTAATATTAATTAGCTATATTATTTTTACAGTAATTTCTATTCACAATTTAAAAATTCTTTATACTTACATATAAATCACTCAAGATTGCTAGTCACCAGTGGTTAATAAATAATTAGTTATAACCAATTTATATATAGAGTTTGTTTAAAAAAAAACATTTCATACTTCCTATTAAATAACGATAGACATAGATATGTGTGTTAAAAGAATAATTAAAATGTAAAAGAATATATAGTTAATGTATAAGAAATATGTCATTTATAAAAGCGTTTACATTTTCTAAAACTAATGTAATTGTTAAGTATTTTTTAAAGTTTTGTACCATTTTAAAGAGAGATGAAGTAGAAATGTATTCAAAATAAATATTTCTATTTACAAAATATACTTTTTCATATTATTATTTTATGTACCTGAAATGAACGAAAAATATGTAAATTTTATTATAGAATTTTGTTTTATGCATTTAAAAATAAATTAATTGTTTATTAAATATGAGTCACAATTTGTAAAGTGCGCCAACATTTTTTTTAAACATTCGAAATTTTTTAAATTCACGTTTTTCCATTTAAAATAGTAAATTAAAATTTAAATTAAACATTGTTGTAAAATTTGTAAATTAATATTAATTAATTGTTAATTGAAGTTATTATTATAAACATTTTTAAACGCGATTTTATAAATTTTTGTATTTCTATAAATAATCTACACGGAAAGAAAATAAATATCAAATTTTATAAAAGCATTTTCAAATTTTCTATAAGTATTTTCAAGTCGTGGAAAATATTGTAAAAAGCGAAATTTCCATATAAGAAATATTAATCTTTAATAAATTTTTAACTTTACACCATCTACTATAGTTATAATAAAATTTATTATAATTTAATAATTAATCAAATACGTTCTACCAAATTTTATTATAACTATAGTAAATTTAATAAAAGTTTATTAAAAATTAGTATTTCTTACATAGAAATTTCGCTTCTTACAATATTTTCCATGACTTGAAAATACTTTTACAAAATTTGAAAATGCTTCTATAAAATTTGATATTTATTTTCTTTCCGTGTATAAAAAAATCAATTTTTTTGGCAACTGATATTATTTTAAATTAAGACTGCTTTCTTTATTTCTCATTTTTTAAAATTATGTAATTTATTAAAAATTAATTTACCTTCTCCCTCGATTTTTCAAATATTTTTTGTTACATATTATTCGTAAAAATAAACTAAAATCTTTGCCAAAAAGAAAAATTTGATAATTTACCCTTCGGTTAAAAGTTAACGAATTTTTATAGCGTGGGGTACAAAAAATCTCTCCTAACGCGTTATTTTTTGAAATATTTATATAAATGAAGATCAAAAACTTGTTATAATGTTCTTTGGCACAATCTTTGATCTTCATTTATTTAAAAATTTCAAATAGTACTGCCTACAATAGACTACAATAGACTACAAATAGTCAGAAGAAATTTTTTGTGTTAAGCTCTAGAATAAAAAATTTTCGTAACTTTTAATCAAAGGTAAATTATCAAATTTTTCTTTTTGAGAATGATTTTAGTTTTACGAGTAATATGCAACAAAAAGAATTTTATCGAGGAAGAAGTTGGATTAAGTTTTATTTTAAATGAATTATTTAAATTTTCAACAAATTACATAATTTTTAAAATGATAAATGTCAACCGAAAGCGGTGTTAATTAAAAATAATAATGCCAAATTGCTTTTGTATAGATTAAGAAAAATAAAAATTTGTAAAATCACGCACAAAAATGTTTATAACAATAACTTGTATAAATCTTAAAATTTTTAAAAACTGTTAAAGTTGTTTTTTTTATTTACTATTTTGAATAGAAAAACGTAAATTTCTTGAAAAAATTTCTACTATTTAATTATCAGACTTCACAAATTTTGACTCATTAATATACTTTTTTATTTTTCATTACTGTAGTGATTTTCAAAAAAAAATAGACCAAAAACATGCTTTCGTTAATTTGAACGTTGAGAGCTTTAGGTACATATTAAGGATAAAAATAAAGAATTTTTTTTTTTTCATATTTATTACAAATATTGTAAATTAACACACGTATACATTCTTTCGATACATTTTCTCGATTCAGACTTTTTCTTTGTACAGTTCAATATTTACAAAATCGAAATCTATTTTACACATAGTACTTGACGATTTTATATTATAGGGCAATGAACATAAAAAAATAAATTCATGGCATATCGTAAAGACTATGGTATAGTCAGTCTAGAGATGTTGAGGATTGCTCCAATTTATAATTATGGCTAGAAATGTAAAGTAGAATGAAAAAAAAACATTTCTTAGTAATTTAAATAATATTAAAAATATACAAAAATATTACACTGACATTGTGGGGGGCGAGGGGGAATATACAAAAAAAATTGTATTAATCTACAATTTTTGAGTACAGTTACAAAAAAGTAATTGAACTATTAGAAAAACCTAGCTTGTACTTTCTAGCAAAATTATTTTCTGAGAGTTGTAATAAAATTACAAGACATTGCACCATAATTTAGTTTTTTTTTATAATACAGTCTTAATATTAATTAATATATATATATATATAGGAAATTTTTCACTATTAACTGTACAAACTCACTGACATCCTGATACAAGATGTCAGGATATTTTAAAAAAATAGCTTTTTAAGCTCTAATTTTCTTTTTTGTATAACTAATTCTCGATTCATGCAATTTTTTTTTTACATTTAGAGAACATTGTATGGCAAGAATAAAGTTTTTAAATAATCTCAGTCATGTCTGGCATCAGAAATAATAAAAAAGAAAAAAAATTTGTAGTACCTTTCTCAAACGTACTCTTCAGACGGTTTAGGAATATTTGCTGGTAATCTAAGAGTACTTTGAACTCTGTTGGTACTGTCGGGTAATTCAGCAATGTCAATAAATACACCGACCAAACTCTCAAAATTTGGTCCCCAATTTAAGAGATAATCCCAACTGAGAGCCGTGTTGGTTGATGGTGAACCATTTGTTGTTGGCCTGTAAAGTCCACCCATGTGAGTTGAAAGATCATCGTCAGACGCAACCAATGTACTCAGCGAACCACGAAACGAGCTGTCGAATCCATCGTAGTTGATATTTGGCGGTAGAGGTGGTTTCGTCGATGGTGAAGACTCGGTTGTTCTATCGGGAAGTACCTCATCTTCGGGTTTACTAAATAAGTCATCAGATCGTTTATCTTCAACTAAAGAATTATTATCGTACTCAATTTCCGAACATGTGAAGCTATCGTTACCACTCTCGTCTGTAGTTGATGAATTCCTTCTTTTCAGTCTTTCAGGTGGCGGTGTGTGCCTTCTGTGTAAATGAAGTGGTCCATGCGTTGGTGGTCCTCTCGCTTCACTCGACGAACTCACGGCATCCAATGTTGAGACTAAACTCGATGTTCTTGGTCTTGAATTTAGTCTCTCAATTTCTTCAGCGGTGAGGCCCATTGGTCCCGATGATACATTGTTCACTGTTTCATTTGATTGTGGAACTTTTCGACTTGCCGTTGAACCCGAAAGTTGACTCATAATTGGTGAATTGAGACTTCTTTCACTGTTGGAATTTAGAACGTCTTTTCCAACGCCGCCCGATGAGGAAGTCGTTGCCAACAGTGCTGTTTGCAGGGGTTTTCCACTAATGTCATGAAGAGTTAAGATTCTCGGTTGTTGAGCTGATAATTCACTGCTGGGCGAAAGTCGCGCCAATGGTGTACTTTGATGTAATTTTTGAGCCGATCCTGGAGGTTGACCCACAGTTGGAGGTGGCATTGCTCTTGGTGGAAATGGCGCCGTGTGACGATGTTGTTGTCCAGTGTGTTTGTGATGATTCGCATAGCTTCCAATCGGAGGCGACGTTGCCTTGTATTTTCTCATTCCGGCTCGATAACCTTGATAATGATAGACAATGTCAATGTCACTCGGAGCGATGGAACTTGCATTCTCGAGATCATAATGTTCCGGCATATCGGGTTCGGGATTGTGTTCGTGGGAGTGTAGGGAATTTTGAGTCGGTGGAGGAAGTGGAGGATGATCATCACGAATTGGTGGTGATTTGGTAACTTCTCTCTCGATAATATCCGGTCGTTGTGGACGATGCTCGGTGCCGTTGATCTCTCGTTCTTTGTATTTTTTCGATATAAGTTCAGGACCAATGTGACCTCGTAAATCCGAGGAATCAGATATGTAGGTGTTTTCATGACGTGACAGGAGATTGTCACCTGGAGACACCAATGAATTTCCAGTGATTATTGCATTTGTACTTTTATTTACAACAGTTGTTGCTGATTTTTCTTTACTTTGTCGTCTAAGTCGAAAGACAACAAAACTGACCATGATGGCAACAAGAAGTGTGATAAAGAAAACAATCACTAGAGTTATTCCAATGCTGAGAGGATCTGCAGCAGCGGCCGCGGAGATTCCTATTGGTCCTCTGCAGCCGAGTCCAACTTTTCCATGATAGATAACATCGGTTAGAATTGATCCTGAACCATTGAATGGTTGAAGTTCTCCATTGATTGTAAAATTTGATAGACAACCTTCAAAACTATTTGGTCCCTGATTATTGTGAACGTAATAGAGATCTCTTCTAATTCCTCCAATTGTAAGAATTGACAAATACGGATCCAAAAAATCGTGAACACCCGCTGAATCTAATTCGTCGCCTGCTAGATTTCCATCAATGAAGAGTTTCAAACCTCTCGAATGGGCGTGGAGTGTTAAATTGTGCCATCGACCATCTGCCAAACTGCCTTCGGTTGTTCCTGTCATATTCACAGGGGATCCAATCATAGATGCGTATATTATATGCCCGTTACTTAACTGTAAAAAAAATTTTCTTTTTAAAATACTATTCTTAAATAATACTATTTTTAAATTAACATTTTTTAAATTCGTAATCAATGATTACCTCAACGGAAGTAAAGTGTTTATTAGTGGCAGCGTAAATTAAAACTCCGTCTGGTTTCACAGTTCTGAACATCAAACTAATTGTTTTAGCGGGAGGTGGATTAGAAATGAAAAAGGAATCTCCACTCGTTGATCTTGTTATCCGATGATTGTGCCATAAAGTAGAACCACCGTATAAATATTCCAAAAGTTGCATTCTACGATGCCTCTCCGAAATCTAAAAAAAAGGACACAATAAATCATACTGCTTTTGAAAAAAAAGTTAGAATTTTTTACAATTCTGATACATACTTTAAATTCAATATAGCCTCCTTCACTCAAATTGACCGGCTCCAAAGCTCCATGACAATTAGGAGCCGTGATGCTTCCACACTGACAAGAAACTTGATGCCATTTATCGTAACATTTTCCCGAACCACAAATTGTATTGAAATCCTGTTTATTCGTTGCACAAGGACTACGTTCAGATCTTCCACATGTTGATTTAACACCTCGCGATGATAATGGATTTGTAAGATTCAATGATCTTCCATTTATTGACACAGAGTGTATACAACCAACCAAATCATCCGAATGAACTTGACCAGGTCTTTCTAAAAGAGGATCGACACTTGCCAATCCACCGAGCATCAAAGGATTGTTGTTAAAATTCAATGTTCTGAAAATTTAATACAAAATTAAAAATCAAATACAAAAATGAATTTTGTAAAAACAATTTTTAGAAACTATTTTAAAATTTAGGTACTAACCCAGTTGGTCCAATATCATCGGCATAACACATTCCATCACCGGGTTTACAATCGTCACAAACATCCCCATGTTCTTTACATTTCGAGACACTTAGCGAGACAACTCTTCCATTTCTTGTTGCTGTAATTTTCCTCCATCCTCCATCGGCTAATGATTTTCCATTTTTTATTGAAATTGAAGTAATTGCACTTCTCGCACCTCCATAGGAAAAGACAACTCTGCCGTTAATCAATTCCAAAACAACAAAATCCGAACGTCCTGCACTTTGCGGTCCATAATTGTACAACAATAAAGCGTCGGGTTTAGTTGTTGCAAAAACAATTGTTATATCGTTTGTATTGGAATCCAATGCTGGGAATGACATATAAGAGAGTTCCTCGAATCCAAAGGTTGATTTTTCACAATGTCTTCCATAACGTCCATCAGGACAACTGCATCGATATCTAAAAAATAAATTTTTAAATAATACTTATTTTTTTATTTACGAAACAAATTTTAATTTACTTAGAATGTAGGCCTCGGATTATGCGACTTTTTCCGACTTATTTTAATAAAATGCGATTTTTTCGACTTTTTTTTACAAATTTTTAAAGAATAAAGGTTTTTCTAGTGTACAATGCAGATGTTTTTCAGATCTTCTTTGTTTCAATTATTTAACAAATTTTTAACTACAATTCTTGACTAAATTACATATTTTTAATAATTTTAATGAAATTCTTCACAAATTCAATTATCTTAAACTATTTTTCAATTCAAATTTTTATGAAATTTAATAATTGTTTAAAATTTTAAAAAAATTAGCAAATAAAATTACCAAAAATTTTTAATTCAAAATGACTTGAAATTTAATTATTTGCAAAATTTTCCATTATTTTTAATGATTTTTATACTCTTTGAAAATTCAATTACTTTTAAAAAATGTTATCTAAAATTATTTGATAAATTATTTTTAGTTCTGTAAAATTTAATTATTGTCTGAAAATTAACAAAATCTTTTAAAATTCAATGATTTCTAAAAATTTCAACTTTAACTCTTTCAGAATTATTATTATTATTATTAAAAAAATTTTTATTTAAAAATCTGTAAAACTGAATTAAGTATTACCTGAAATTTTTTTTACCATAAAAATTAAAAACTATGACAAAATTTTAAATTCGAATAAATTGCTTAAATGAGACTTCAAAAAATTATAAAAATGGAACTTTAAGAATTTTCTTAGAAATAATAATAATTATAGATAACCTTTTTTAAAAATAATTGAATTGAAAATAGTTTAAGATAATTGAATTTTTAAAGAATTTCATTTAATTTATTTAAAAGAATTAATTTAGAGAATAATTTTAATTAAAAATTGGGTAAATAATTGAAATAAAAAAAATCTGTAATAAAAAAGACGTATTTTGTTTAAAAATTTTGTAAAAAAAGTAAAAAAAAAAAAAAAAAGTCGAAAAAGTCGTATAATCCGATTCCTGTTTTTTACGAAATAAATTTTAATTTATTAAGAATATGAAAAGTAAAAATACCCAGGTTTCTCTCCAACGCAAAGGCCTCCATGCAGACAAGGATTTGGTCTACATGAATCAGCGATGGATTCACAATGATTTCCTCTATATCCGGCTCTACAGAGACAGAAGAAACTTGAACCGTCGGGACTTTCTTTACAAGATCCACCGTTTCTACAAGGATTACTTGCACAAAAATCTCCCCTCTCCAATTCACAGAACTTTCCTTCTCGATCCAAAGGACACGTACAGTGAAAATCGTATCCCAATCGACGACACTGACCACCCTGAAAAAAAGAATATTTTAAAAATTGGTACATTTTAATTTACATTTAATTTTAAGTATAGTACCTTTTAATTAAGTACATAAATCAAATCCATAAATTACTTACCAACTGACATGGATTTGGTGAACATGGATCTTGTTTCTTTTCGCATCTTTCGCCGGTGAAACCATCACGACATTGGCAAACCATTTCTTGTATTATTTTTGGCGATGTTAAAATTAATGTTTGACTATCGGTAATTCTTGCGTCTTCATAAACAACAATTTGATCACTACATATGCCTCCATTGTCACATGATGAAAATTTACAAGGTGAATAACCAATGGTAATTGAATTATTTTCCAATAAACTTTGAATTTGATTATGTTTGCGTGTTAACAATTCAATAACTTGATATTTACGAAGATAACCTTGCGGTGTTGCTATTGCCAAATAAACATCTAAATTTCCTTTATTTTCATTAATACTGTAAATTGAAATAGTATCTCCAACATTCACGCTCTCCTGAAGTGTATCGCGAAAGGCACGATAGTGTTTACTCAAAAATTCACTGGCAGAAAGTTTGGAAATTTGTAAAGCCACGCTATTTTCAACAGTGATATTTGTAAACGTTGTAAAATCCACCGTCACTTTTGATATTACATCTGGATGTCGGCCATCATTTCCAGAAATACTTAACGAATAACCAAAACCTAAAAAGCGCAAAAAAAAATTGAAAATTAATTAATTATAAATAATAGGACGCTTAGTGAATCGGATATTATTTCTTCATTTGATTCAGACGATAATAAACTTTAAAAAAATGATGCAGACTTTCTTCATATATAAATTCTATGAATTATTAATGGCGCAGCATGCATGTAATAATTTTCAGACTAATATATGAACTTTCGAACACGAACCTGGCGTAATTTTGCTGGTATGCAAATCGCAACCGACCGGTATGTTCAGTACACCGGAGCTCGAACCGTGCAATATTTTGCAAGAGTAGTCGCCAGTTGTATCGGGATCATTTGGATGTACGTCGGCAATTTTTCCCAATGGACTCAAACCATTGTAAGAATGTACAATCACATGAACTGATCTAGGCGTTGAAGGACAATCATTTTGATCTTGAACAATTATCGATATTGAATGCTCATTTTTCATTCTTGGTAAACCTGAATCTTCCACTTCGACCTGATGAAGAAATTTCAAATTAATATACATGAAAAAAAAGTAAAGAAAAAAAATTCCTTTTGCAGGCATTACAATATCTTTTCTTCTCGAAAAAGGTAAATTTTTTTTTTAAAAAAGGGGATAAAAAAAATAAAAAAAATGATAAATTAAATAATTATAATTACGTTGTACAACAATTTGAATTAATGAAGATTGGAAAGAATAAAGTTTTTATAACAATAACTTATAATAATTTTATATTTTAAGAATTTGTGCTTTAGAATAAATGACGTTTAGAAAAGAAAAAAATTAGGATAAATAATAATTTTATTTACTGATGATGATATTATTATTATTATTAGTAAATGAAAATATTTACAAAAAAAAATTCTACATTTTTTATCAAAAAAAGGAATAAATCATTTAAACAATTGCGAAAAAGGTGATAAATCATCAAAATAGGTGGAAAAAGATAAAAAAAAAAAAGGGGGACTAACTGTGATGTCTGCTTTTCTGGGGAAAAAAATAAAATCTTACCACAAGATCAAGTTGTTGAGTTGTTTCTCTATCCAAACTTTTGGTTGTTCGCAAAACGCCGGAATGTTTATCTAAACTAACTAAATCATTCTGTCGTCCTCCAATCAATTTGTAGGAAAATGGAGCGCCATTTGGTGGTAAATCAGGATCTGTAGCCGTCAATGTCATAATAATCGTACCAGCCGGTTCATTTTCACTAACGTAACCAACAACTTCGCTTGAAGCAAAATCCGGTCCATTATCATTAATATCCAACAATTCGATACGAACTGTTGCGGTGCCGGTTTGAGGCGGTGATCCCGTGTCTATGGCGCCGATTATCAGCTCATACGTGGGCACAGTTTCACGGTCTAGTTGTTTCGCCGTCTCGATGTCGCCAGTTTGCGGATCGACCTTGAATGCTTGGCCCACGTTACCGCCAATGATTGAATAGGAAAATTGATTATTCTGCGGCCTGACGTCCTTGTCGACAGCGCGTACTGTCAATACTCTCATTCCCAATGCTGCGCCCTCAGATACATTTGCATCGTAAATATTTTGCAAAAATTCCGGTGGATCATTACCGTCTTGAATTGAAATAACAACTTGCGCTTCGTCTGTATCATTGCCACGAATTCCGCCTGCATTTTTTGCCATTACTGTCAATACAACACGATTTTGTGTCTCTCTATCCAATCTTCTTGAAACACTAATCATTCCCGTTTCTGAACCAATAGTAAATCCCTTATCATTCGAGGAGCCAACAAATAGATAATAAACCCTTCCATCGTTACCAGCGTCTTGATCGGTCGCTTGAACAAGTCCCACCGATGTTCCAACTTGTGCACTTTCCGAGACATCCATATGAAAAACAGGTTGAACAAATTTCGGATAAAATTCATTGACACCGGTAATATAAATCAAAACAGTTGTAACGCCAACCATTTGTGGACTTGTGTCAGGATTTGTTGCGACAATATCCAATGTATATTCATTAGCTTCTTCGTAATCAAAACTAACTTTAGCTGTAATTGTTCCCGTGTCTTGTTGAATTTGAAAATAATCTTTACCACTACCGCCGAGAATTTTATATTGAATTATTGAATACTTTGGTGAATCAATATCCCTTGCAACGACTTTATAGACAAAATTATTTGGTGGTGAATTTTCTGGAAGATAAGCTTTGTAGAGACTTTGATTGAATGTCGGATGATTGTCATTAATATCAGAGACATTTATCGTTAGGGTTGCGATCGCATGTTTTGATTTGAATGCCAAATCACTTGCCGTGATGTTGAGACGATATTCTTGAACAGTATCGTAGTCCAATGGTTCCAAAAGTGTCACAACACCAGTAATTGGATTAATGGAAAATTCTTGACGTTCATTTCCAGCTGATATTTTGTAACGTACCATTCCATTGGGTCCAGCGTCACCGTCAACGGCACTCACTGTCAAAATTGTCGTATTCACTGGTTCATTTTCTGGTACACGAACTTGATAACTAACAGCAGCGAAAGTGGGAGCGTGACGATTTTCACCAGTTATTACCAATGTCAATGGCACTTGATCTCTTTGTGGAGGTACACCTCTGTCCACCGCCTGTGCTTGTAAAACAAAACTAGTACCCGGTTTAAGATTACTCAATGATTTCGTCACATAAATCCATCCTGATTTTTGATCAATTTCAAAATATTCACTTCCATTTCCAGTGGCAATGGAGTATTCAATTTCAGCATTGACTCCAAAATCAGTCTCATCAGTGGCTTTCAATTGCATTAATTGTTTGCCCATGAAGAAATCTTCAGGCACTGGCGATAGATATGAACGTTGTTCAAACTTTGGTGGATTATTGTTTGCATCGACGATATTTATATAGACTAGTGTTTTAGAAGACATTGGAGGTTTTCCATTGTCCGTTGCAACGACAGTTAGAGAGTAAAGATTTTCCGGCGATGATGGTCTGTGAGTGTGTTTGTATTTTAATGTTCTCTTACTGAAAATATCACCAGTTGCCGGATCAACGGTAAAAAGATCCGAAGGTTGAAGAAGACTGTACGATATAACGGAATTTGGTCCTTGTTTGTCACGATCGGTTGCTGTCACCTCGCCAACGTGAGCCATTTTTTGTTGCAATTCAGGAAAGTGAAAATGATAGGATTCTTCAACAAATTCCGGTGCATTGTCATTTTGATCTTGAATTGTGATTGTTAGCGGTGTTTCTGCACCCCAAGCACCGTCGGCAGCAGCAACCTAGCAAAAAATTTGATTTTAGATTTTTCCAATTGTAAAAAAATGGTAAAATTTAAAAAAGAAATTTGTACCTTGAGAAGATATTCATCTTGTTCTTCTCTATCCAAATGTCCAATGACTGTAACGTTTCCACTCAATGGATCGATAGAAAATTTTTCTCCTGGATTTTCCGTGAAGCTATAAGTGACATTTGCATTTTGATCAATGTCCTGATCACTGCTTGTAATTTTAATTACAAAAGATCCTATTTCAGCATTTTCAGTGACATTGACGCTAAATAATCTTGTAAATCGAGGAGGATTGTCATTTTTATCAAGAACTGTAATAAGAACCGTTGCTGTGCCGGTCAATCTCGGTTCACCTTGATCTCTGGCTTCAACAATTAGTTCATAAGACGATATCTGTAAAAATTATTTCAGTATTTTATTTCTTTTAGTATTTTTCATAATAAAAAAAAATTGTTGATTGTTATTGTGTTCAATATTTACCTCTTCTCGATCAAGTTTGGTGTCTGTTGTAATTTCTCCTGTATTCTCATCAATAACAAATGTCCCATCAAAATCATTGACTAAATGATAAGTAATTTGTCCATTTTCACCAGAATCAGAATCCTTGGCCGAGATTTTAGTTACAAATTGTGGTGGATAATCATCTTCAGGTACTGTCGCATTATAAAGCATAGAATCAATTACTGGCGCATTATCATTGGCATCCGTTACATTCACTAATAATTGAACAACACTTCGCAATGGTGGATTTCCAGAATCACGAACTTCAACCCATGCCTCGTAATATGGAGCAGTTTCATAATCAAAACCAGAAGCAACCAAAATCTGAAAATTCATAGAAATAATTTTTATTAGAATTATAAAAATAGAATTAAATAATCAATTATCTTGTGGAGAAAAAGAAAACTCACTTCTCCCGTGTGCGGTTCGATTTTAAGAGCGTCGCCAACGTTTCCTCCGGCCATGCCAAAAATTAAATTACTCCCAGCGCCGGAAGTTGGAGTTGTTGCGCTAAGTGTTGTGATAATTCTTCCTTCAGGCACATCTTCGGGTAAAGTAAATCTCGTATTAATTGAAGAACGAAAACTTGGAAATAATTGTTTATCCCACAAATGAATCATTAAATCGGCTGTAACACTTTGTGGTTCTGTACCACAATCGGAAGCTTGAATTTGCAGCTGATATGTCCCTTCGCTTCTCGATAATTCTTGACTTGCTCTAATAACTCCGTTATTTGGATCAATAATAAAACGTTTTGCATCTTCACCTTGGAGACGATAAACAATTCTCGAATTTTCACCATCGTCATCGTCAATTGCTTTTGCTCCAAAGACAAAGTCGCCTGAAATAAATATATAAAATTTTTTACTTTTTTAATATAGGAATATTTTAAGGAAATAAAAGACTTTCGTGAGAGTAAAAAAAATAAATAGCGGTATATTAAAATTTCTTACCATGCTTAGTGCCTTCCGGTACATAGGCAGTGTATCTCGGGCTGGAAAATCGAGGTGCATTGTCGTTTAAGTCTGTAACAGAAATTGTCAGATTGACAGCAGATGCACTTGGTTCCGTTGGACTGGAGTCTTGAGCCACCAACGTCAAGTGGTAAACGGCTGTCTGTTCCCTGTCGAGAGGTTCCACTGTGACTATCTCTCCTGTACCAGGATTCACTGAGAATTTTTCCGCCTTGTCCCCCAACAGACTGTATCTACAAGTTGAAGAAAAAAAATTCAAATTAAACTCACACAAACGTATATTAAATTCCAACTACCAATACTAATTTTTTCCAAAAGAATTTCTATTTTTATTATCAATATATACTAATACAAAAATAATATAAAAAAATTTATAATAAAAAAAGTAATTTTGAAAAATTTACCTTATTTTAGCATTGAGTCCCTCGTCTTTATCGGTAGCAACAGGATTAGCGACCCAAGTACCAATTTGTGAATTCTCAGTGACTGAGGCTTTATATTCCTGTCGTGCAAATTCCGGACTGTGATCGTTAACATCAAGAACGACAATTCTAACAATTCCGGTACCAGTCAAAGGAGGTGAACCTAGAAAAAAAAAGTTCTTAGAATAAAAGAAACAAAAATTGTTCATGAATTTGAATAATTAATTTATTCATATATAAAAATTTTATTGACTGTTTCAAGAAACTAATATTATATTGACTCTTTATACAAGTTGTTAATAGAAATTCTTTGCGAATTAATAAAAAAAAAAAAAAAAAAAAGAATCATCATGTCTTGGGGGGCGTAAACTCTGTTCGTTGGATGAGTAAGTGAGAATAGGGAATATGAGAAAAGAGAGAAAGAGATGAGATTGATGAATACATAAGGAAAAGAGATGACCGGGACTAGGTTCTACAGCCGCATGTGAATGTATCGTGACCATAGCGTTCAGATCTCAGCGGGATGCTTCTATAAATTCCTATAAGAAAGCCTGCGGTGTTCCATGTTACCTAATCCAGCGACTTTAATAGTTCAAATTCATTATCGAGTTATTACCAGCACGGTCCATATAATTCAAAATCAAAAAAACTTCAAATTTCGGTAGAAATTTTAATTTTCTCAGAAAAGGTATTTTTACCTTATATTTTATATATATTTTTATACATTTTTTATATATTTATTTTTATCCATTTTTTATATATTTATATATATATTTTTCTTCTTAATACACCGGAACAAATTATTCATCAGAGAAATTAAAAAAAATTTCTTTTCTAAAATTATCAATTTTTGTTTTTTCATTTTTTTGCAATAATTTTTAATATATAAATATTATTGGCGTCCATTTAATTTTCTTTCATCGTCTTTATAAATAGATAATTGCATCATATGAAAATTGTTGTAAATTAATTTATTTCAAGTTAACACAAATTTGCTTAGGCGTTACGCGATCATTATGCAAAACGTCGGTCAAGTGCTCAGTTTGTATGGTTCACAGCTAAAGCGAAATCGCGATACGAACATAATTATTACATTTCACGCCCTGAGGATTTTTCTGACCGTCAAACCATGTCCGTTTTACTATAAATAATACTCTAGTGATAATTTTTTTTTTAAATGATAAATCAATAACTTTTCCTTCTGCGTCTAATATTCATAAATTTATTCGCCTATATTTAATAAATTAATAAATAAAAATAATAATATTTATAATATAATATAAATGATAAATATATATATATAAAAATAATAAAAATAAATAGAAATAAAAAAATGTGATTTTCTATAAATTTTGTAACTAATAGATGACATTTTATTTGTAAAAAATTTCAACTTTTTATTAAATATTTAAGATCTGATATTTAAGGTCTGTCACTTAAGGATTTTCCTGAAGGCAACTGACTGATCTCGACAGCTATTCTATAATTCTGTAGATCAAGTAAATGTCCATTTATAGCAAGCCTTGCACATTAATTGGTTCATATCTACTCCATTCAATCGGCACCCAGCTTCAGCGATAAATGGGCATTATTCTCGTCGAATGCCATACTACTCTTCTCTCGAGGTACAATTTTCAAGCTTAAAATCTTCAAGCTACAATCTTTTATTATTTTTTTCCCCCTTTATCATAGAAAATTTTTTTTATTGTATTTCCCGTTAGTTAGAATTTTCATTCATTATAAATTTAAAAAAAGGAACACTGATCCTTAGTATGATAATTTAAAATTAAAAAAATAAAATTGAAAATAAGGAATAATTTTTTTTTTAAATTCACCCTGGATCAATTTTGACTTTGGTTTCATCCAAAGAGGCTTCTTTAAAAATCTGCCCCGAAGGTTCAATGGCTGTGACCAACCAGTTTGAGGTATAAAAGCCGATATTATAGCTCCACACACAGGATCTAGATCCGGCACTCGAACTTGCACTTAACAGGTTTCGACATCTTCCGATTTAACGCACTACTATATGGGGGTTCACAATTCCCTTGAAATCCATTATATGTTCGCGAATAACATTCACTGGAATTTTAATTTATCTTCTTTTATATATTATATTGTTTTTCATAATTGAAAAAAAAAATTATTTTAGATTCAAACAAATTTTAATAAAAAGGGTGTAAAAATGAAATTGATTTTTGATATCTATTTGAATTTGTTAAAAATTAATATTTGATAGCAAAAAATCGGTCGCTGATTCAAATAGTAATATTTCTACTAATCTTTTAGTTAAAAATAAATAATTACAAATTTAATTTTATATGTTAAAATAACTAAAATTTCTAGTATCTAATGAAATTAGTTTTGACTATTTTTGCAATAAAAATTAATTACTTTTTGGTTATTAATTATTTTTTTATAAATGTAAAATTACTAATAACTAAAAAGTAACTAAAGAAATAACTAATTTTATAGCAAAATCCAGTTGCCGTTTCAAATAGTAATATTTATATTAATCTTTTATAGTTAAAAATAACAAAGTATTAGTTAAATTTACTTTTAGGTTTATGTTAAAATAATTGAAATTTCTAGTAACTAATTTAATTAGTTTTTACTATTGTTTCAAATAAAAATTAGTTACTTTTTAGTTATTAGTTTAAATTAATTATTCTTTTTACTATTTTTTAAGCAAAAAAGCATAAAATTTTTTTTACTAACAATTAGTTATTTTTAACTAATTCAGATTTAGAATGTAAAACATTTGTGTGACAAATTTCAGTTCTCTGGGTTAAAATAACAAGTTTTTATAAAAAATTAACTACAAAATAACTGAAACAAAATTTTAATCTTGGAATAAATTAGAAAAAGAAAACTTGGCTATTGAACATAAATTCCAAGGTGTGTGGCCACGATATGAAGGATTAATCGTAAGGGAATTTGTCATACGAATACAAAGAAACTTGTATATACACATATTCATGCTAGGCGTATAGCTTTTCTTGGAGTAAGTTGATCGTTGATATTACGATTATAGCTCGTTTTGCTTGATGCACAATCATGACTAATATATTGTGATCATTTTTCCATCATTGATAAATAGAAACAAAAACATATAGCCATTTGTATATTAAACCCAGTAAACCAGTTACTATATCAATTCAACCGTTTACAATTATTTATATAATTATTATTTCACTTTTTTTCTAGAAATTTTTTAATGCAAAAAAAACTTTAAAAATAAAAAAATCTTTTTTCAAAAAAGGGAATATTTTTGAATTGAAAAAAAATTAATTTTTATTTTGATGATTATAATTTAGAAAATTGGTTCTGTGGTTTATTGACTTTAGAGTTTTTGGTTCAGTAGCCATACGGTTTATTAGTTCTTTAACAGCTTAACTGTTTTCCTACCTATATATATAAAAGCGAGAGACCCTAATGATTATTTCAGAAATAATAACTGCTTGCCTTGGAACTAAATTAAAATACAGTACACCTATAAGTACATGAACGGTAATCTCGTTAACGTGTAAATACTTTTACTACACACAGAATATAATGTGGAACCACGACAAAAACTGGAAAAGAAGTTAATAAAAAGAGCGATACACACACACACAAGGAGTAATTTGTCAATTAAATTGACAATCTGTTATACTAAATGTGACAATATATATGTTATATTACAAAATCGATAATTATAAAAAAAGTGTCTTAAAAACTCTTTTTCCCATTGCTTCGAAAATGTACATTTTGCGTAAAAGAATTTTTTTATTATAGTAAAAAAAATTCTTCACAAATTGAAATTATATATTTATAATATTAAAATATTTTCATACTACCAGGAAGTGAAAAAACAATGTCCTCAATCTTCAATAATGATAGTAGGTGCTTAAATGTGTGATGTTTGCAGCACCACACGGTGAAAATAATAGAATAGTATTTTTTTTTCTCTCTTGACAGAGAGATAGGCTTTGAGGAAGTTGAGTTCTTCCTGAACGCCCTCGAAACGTTTTCTGGATTTTACATGCGCCGGACAAGAAATAGACCAACTGAATGGAATAACATTGCATTTCTTAGGCGGCGGGAACACGAGAAGTGCTCGTAAGGAAAATCAGGAGTTTAGATAAAAGTAGAAAAGAAAAAGAAAAAAAAGAGAGAGAGAGAAACAAAGAAAATGTTCGCAAATGGTAGATAAAAACAGTAACAATAAAAATCATTTACATTTTTTTTTTGAAATTGAAAAACAATTTAAACTTTAGATATGTAAAATTTCATGAAATTTTCGTTTAGTGAAATATTTTATGAAAAATTGAAATATTTCAATCTTGCATGAAATTTTTCTTCGCTTACATCCCGATTAAACTTGCGGGACAAGATTGACTTGAAGTTTGTCACATCAAGTTTTATTGATAATTTTTAAAAATCGCGCCTAAATCTTTATCTCGATTGTTTTTTCCTGTAAATGGACAAATACTATTTGATACTATTCGTGGGAATAAAAAATGAAACAAATGAAGATTAAAATTGGAAATTGTGTAACTAAATAACTCGAATCAGAAATTGGGAAATTGATGGAATTTGAGTAAGTCCATTTTTTCCATTTCTCGAGGAGTTGAAAATGACGAACGGTTCTGGAATGTTTAAAATATATATTATATTATACGAAAGCGTGTAATTTTTTGTTGGAGACTTGAGTTACGTGGCCACCGAGAGAATATCGAAAATGTATCCATACTCAATCCCTACAGTTATTAGTCTCTTGGCAGGGTTGAGAAGAGTTATGACGCGCGATTATGATAATCGGTCCCTCTCTCTCTTTTCTTCTCTTTGGTCCCGCTTCCCCTTCTGGTATTTCGGGGCCTTATCTTCCGCTTTTATGCATCTTTGTCCCATAACCGTGCTTGCTATATTCTACTTTACTCTCTTATAAGAGATCTCTTATTATTATTAAAGTGCGTCGTTATGATTATTATATATATATATACCCTGTGAATAAATGCTATATTTCGAGCCTCGAGTCCTACCTCCAATCACAGAAATAGTTTTTGGCAGTGCACCGTATCGGTGAACATAATTATATGTATGTATGTATGTATATAACCATTGTAATCGTCCTCTCTTTTGCTTTTCAAAGCCCATTAGTCGCTCCTTATATGTAAATTTCAC